GAGTATAAAAAGACATAGAGCTTCTGTATAAGGTATAAGTGGAGTTTGGTGACCAATATTGGAAAGAAACGTGGCCTTTCAAACACGATAACGGCTTTTTGGTAAGAAAAAACATTGATGTATTGGAATGTCAGCAGTAAATACGGATCTAAGTCCCATCAAATCTGTAGGCCGTTTTATCCATGTAAGTATAGTCCAATGGGACTCAATAACAACTATTATTGTAATTAAAAAGAGAAAACAAAAAATGAAAAGCAAATTTATGTTTGTCTTTATTGCAAAATTTAATTAGCTCGATTACATTTCGTATATATTCAGTAATAAATAACAATAAATTTCGCGCAAAATTTAAAACAATATGCTTTAGACCACCACATAACACATTTAATTTTGAAAAAATGCTTCTTCTTTATGATATCAGAATTCATAATAACTTTCTCTCACTTGTTTAGTAGAAGAGAAGCATATTCTAAACAGTAATAGCATCCTTCAACTTTTCCAACTATTTATCATATTATGTTAAACTTTTTTCTTTCATTATGCTAAATTGAGTGCATGGCAGTCATACATTGTTATAAAGCCAATCACGCATATCCTTACTGCCAGCACCACTGGCGAAAGGAGTCATGTATTTAAGAGGATAAGGCCGCTCATAGCTCAGGGCTTCATGCATATGCTGACGGCTCGTCGTCACGCAATGAATTTCCCATTACCTACTAAGTCAATACTTACATGTGTATTTGCATGCATTTTTCGCGTACGCACGAGCATACATATCCTGATTATCCTTAATCCAGCCACTCGTTCAGTGCGACGCATAAAATTCTTAGAAGCCTCGTTAGCATTTTGCTCAGTGAGAAATAATGTGCGAGCGCATAAAGAAAAAATATAAAAGGCGTATGAATCGTAAATGGCGTCAAAGTCGAATTGCAAGCTCTTGGCTTGGTGTGTGTGTGTGGTGGTTGAAGGACGAATGGATTTACAAATTGATGAAGCCTACGGGCGCTCTTCAGAAAATTTGCATCCTGTTACATAAGTATATATGTATGTTGAAATGTATTAAAAGTAAGGAAGCGCTACTTTCGAATGGAGCCTAATATTAGATTCATAGAATGGTTCATTAATTTTATTAAAATCACTCAAAAATTGGTAGTCATTATACTGAGTATATAGGGGCTAAAAGTGCTTGAATTATATACATATCTCTGGTTAAATAGTCTGAAGGGGACGTGGATGTATTCCAAATCCGCTCATTCACAGACTGCAACATAAGAGGGTAAAGAAAATGTCATGCACCAAACACCAGGATTCAAATTGATCAGGTATTTGCTGTGATATGGATTAACCTTAAACCTGAAGTGCCACGCGCCTTATGAGAGCTTATTGTATTTTCGTAATTTCATGAAATAGAAGATTTGAACCAAATTTTATCAAGACATCGATTCCTTACATATTCTGGTCTTTTGATATATATAACTTTATATCTATACAGTTTAATTTGTGATCGTACAAACAACTGTTAGACGAATAAAGCCCCTATACTCTGTGCAACATCTTGCGAGAGTACACAAATACGGTTAAGTACGCAAAGAGAAGTTGCGGCAAAGATAAAGTGTCGGATGCGCTGGTGACACGCGCTTCTCGTTTGGTGACTTTCATCGCGCAGCTTTCAATAATCGTGCACAAGCAAAGGACCGTTGCCTGCAAGTAGTCATTTATTTGCCTAGATCATGCAGTTGTTGAACGGCCAAAGTGCCAATACACGCCCAAACTCTGTGTGTGTGTACGTGTAGAAAGCTTACTTATAATCTTACCTTCTTGCAAGCATTATTCTACTTGTGGACCTTTGTACGCGACCGAGGCTGGCGATGCTGCCAATTTGTTGGTGATTGAACGGCTTACTCATAGAAAACGCGTCGCACAAAAGTGTTATGGCAAATGAAAACTTATGGCATGGGAAAACGACGTTATGCATGGATATTACAGGAAATGGAAATGAAAAGCGGATAACCAACGAAATCGCTTGTTGAATTGCGAATGTAAAAGGATATGATTGAAAAGGTGCATAATAACGCGAACATTCGAAAATCATGCCAAGTGATAAAGGATGTTTGAAATTACATTTACCGTATTCGCGAATGCGAAATATGATTTTTAAAGTCATTCTTATTGATTTTTGTAGAACTGCATTTTTTGGCAATATATCTTAAATTCATAATGTTTTAAATAAAAAAAAGTTATGAATAAATTTATTAAAATTTATTATTGTATACTTGTATATAATATCCACAGATAATCAGTTTAGATGATTTGAGTTGTCAATAATGTACTTTAAAGAGCAAACTGCTTATTTAGTTTAAAAAAAAAACAAAAAAAAAATGCTCAATATTAAGATATGAGAAATTAATTCAAATTCAATCAAATAATCTGATATATTTATGAAGTAAGGTAAAAATTTTAGGATGTTATAGTTGGCGAAGTTGTTTGTAGAAGGAAGACGAAGAGAATCGAGGTCACGTTTTTTGGCAACACAAAATACTTGCCTTAAATATTTCAAGTGTAAATTCTGTCGCAAGAATCAACCATGGAACCTAATCTAACTTTCCTTGGGATTTAAACCATATAAAATCAAAATACTAACGGCAGAAAAATGTTGCGATAAAAGATAAATAGAACTGTGTTAACATCTTGCTAGACGATTTCGCTGTCATGGTGATCCGAAAATCAAGTATACTTGAATAAACCTCCCAGCTCATCGCATTTACCGGAGCCCGAAATTGTATTATGATCTTTAAAAATTTGTATATGAAGTCGAATTAAGGTTACTTAATAAGGAAAAAGTATCTTTTGGGAAGATTAAATATTTGATTTGTCAGTTTGTATGCCAGCTTTATGCTACAGTGGTCCAATCTGACCACTTTGTTCGAAAATTTTGGTTTGTTTTGGACAATAAGCTATGGTTAAATTCGTGAAGATATCTTGTCAAATAAAAAATTTTTCCACACTTTTTTCAGAACTTTTTTGTTTTGAGCGGTCAGCTATTATATATTATATAGCTATATTATATAGTTGTTGTCCGATATCTGCGGTTCCGACAAATGAGCGGCTTCATAAGATACGGACGTGTGCGAAGTTTTAAATCGATGTCACAAAACTTGAGGGGCTAGTTTCTAAATCAATTTATACATGTCGTTTAAGGGTATTTTCGACTTTCTTTTGGGTGTTATAAACTTTGTGGCAATAAACCTGGAAACATCTCTTATGACGCACCTCACCCCACTTTATATCGCCCCACATATCTTTCAAAGCTTATGGAAAAAAATTTTGCTAAGCATCTCAACAACATAGTTGAAGAGAGCAAGCTGTTGGCCATGCATCAGTTTGTAAAAAACACTCCACTATTGTTCAAGTGCATAGAATTACTCAAATTCTTGAAAGACCGTTTCAAGAACAAAAAGTTTGCTCGGCCGTCTTCCTCGACGTTTCCAAACCTTTTGATAGAGGTAGGTATTGGCTATCTATATTTAAGAAAATTCTTCATACAAGCAGGTGCTTAGCCCAGTTTGCGCTTTAACTCCGGAATTTAACTTTGGAAGTGCTCAAGTCCTAGCACTGTCGCACGAATCTAGCAATTTTTTCACAATCCATACTACTTTTTCGAAATTCACTGTGATCTATGCAACTCTTCAGTTTATTTAAGTTTCAATTGGTGGCGGTTTTTGCCTTTGAAACTCCAGCTACAGTTGACCCATTAGATCGTTGAACAATGAATACATAAATTACATGTTCGATAAAGCTGCAAAAATATCGATAATCGGATCACTCGATAGTTTCTATAGTTTCAAAAAATACTATCGATACTTTTTCATCTTGAAATCTACATAGTTTCCAATGGTTTAAATTAAGAGATCTTGATTTTGTACAATTATTTAATTATTCTGAAATAATCTTTGAATTTATTTATAAAACAAATCATGAATAATAACGGAAAAAGGAAAAATTAATTAAAATAATATTCGTTGATATGCACTATGAGTGAGTACAATTTGTGAAATTTAATAACAACCGCATGTTCACATAATATGCTTTCATTTCATAATTTTATTCTCCAAAACCGTTAGTACTAACTAAAACGGATGTTTATTTTACAATTTTTATTTTTCCACGGTTCTTAATTTTCCAGAAGTTTAAGCAAAATCGTAGCGGCGAAAATTCTGAGTTGCGCTGCAGGTATGAACGAGTGAGATTATGTGCAACGGGCATTTCAGAACACTAGAAATTATTACCTAAAATTATTAAATATTTTCGCAACATTCCTTCTAACGCATCTAATAAGTTATTAAATTGTACAAAATAGTTAAATTAGTAACATAATATATTGTATTATATTAAAAATATTCTGTATTTTTTAAATTTAATTTAATTTTAATGAAAAATGATTTTGAGGCTACCATGTTATCTAAAATTAGACTTCGCCCCTGCTATTACTAAACTATATCGTTTTTTAGCTATACTAAGTGGAATTGGTTGGTAAGTCTAATTAAGGCATAAATCATCGATAGTCAAAATAAACTATCGATAATGAGACGAAAATAAAACTATCGATAGTCCCAACGACTGTTTTCCAGCTCTAGTTCGCGAATCTTGCTGATATTTTCCGAAATTAAGATTTCTTCATTTACATAAATTAGTTCACAAGATTTTCATGAATTATTCTTATATTACCACTTCCTTGATAACTAATTTGTTTCGAATAAAAAACGGTACAAATTGTATCAAAGTGATCACTTTGTTAAGTTGGAACTCTTATTATTGAGTACGACTCTACGTGATCCTGAATTTAATGCAGCTTCGAAAAGAAAATACCCATATTTCAGATATTTAGACCACCCGAGAAAGAATTCAAATATTCTTAATGAGCACATTTGCTCATCTATACTACACATACAGTGATGTCTGAAAATAGTTGCTACCAATAAGCACCAACCTGCAATTTTCGCATTCGCTCATTCGTTTATTCACCATCAATTAATCATTTTGACTTTTCACACTTTCTTCTTCGTTGCATTTACTTAATTTGCACACTTAATGAACTTCCGTTTCTTTTACAGTTTTGTTTTTTATTTTTGCGCCTTTTAAATAATTTCTTTGACTTTCCAAGTAATTTCAACTCACAACTTTTCCACTGAAAGACCGCATATATTGATTGGCTTTACTCTCTCTCCCCATCGATATTGAAGGCAAATTTATTGTTGTTGTTGTTGACATTTTCCCCTTCACCTTGAGTTACCTAATTAAATTAATTATGCTCACAGTTGGTTTGACTTACTGGATCTCACCTCATTACTGAATTACAGTTACGGGTATTGTTGTTGCTGCATCGGTGGCTTTTCACGTGCCACTGCGACCGCATTTGCTGATTCGGCGTTTTAAATCGTTTAAGCGAACTCGTTCACTACAATTTCCGTATTGTTGTGTGTTCCTTCTCAGCTCCATGTTTGCGTTTTTGGGTTTATATAATTTATTTTTACTTTTTAAGTTTTTTTGCTTCGGCACCTGGGTTGCTCGTTGCCACTTCGAACATCATTAGTAGCGCCTAAGTAATGCTTCCCCATCGTTGTTGCTAATTTGAGCTCGACGTTTTTGTATCTTCTATCTCTTATTTCCTTTTCCACTGCTTTCTCAATCCTCTTAACAATTCATCAATTTTCGCAAATTATACAAAATCTGTTGCGGAGCTTACATTTTTTCACCATTCGCTTGTTGACCGTCAGCTAAAATTAATTTATTGCTGTTGCTACTTTTCCAAGGGGCTCCGCCATGTTCCGACAAATATTCTGTGTTGTTTCCTCCATCGTTCTCAATTAGTATTCCGATTGTTGCTGGCCTTTCGCATTTGATGAATTGCATTTTGGTCCTCTTCGAAGGTTTACTCAAAGTATTCTTTTTTCAAGTTTTCCGCGCTTGTAATTTACGTAGCACCATGTTTTTGCTGTGGCTCTACCTTTTTATCTAAATATTGTCCATTTTACTTTTCATTAATTAATGTCAATGTCCATTCCTTGACATATTGAGCGCCATTGCCGTTAACGCTGCCGAACAGCTGGCTCTTGGCCATATCACAGCGCCCCATTTCCTAATGCCAGAAACTGAGCAAATCATGGGAAGTTCATTTATAACCGTTTTTGCTGCGCCTCACTGTAATCTTCGCAATCTTCTGTCGCGCATCTGAAAATCCACTGCTTAAATCTTACCTGTTTTTCTCCCCACTTAGCCCGGCCGGTTAGATGCTATTACAAATTAATGTTAAAGTGGGTAATTGTTTACAAGTGGTACAGATTATAGGGCTGCAACACGACCTTAAACTAAATAGGTTATTGTTACTGGGAAAACATTTCCGCAGCATAATGAAGAATGCAAAAATATGTCTACCATATGGCATTATTTAATAGAAATTTTGTAATTACAGCAGGTTTGCTTATAAAGTGCTTTAAGTGTTTTTAAAAAAGGACTCCCGCTAGAAAAAATGAAAGAAACTGTGTGCCTAACATAGAATTAATTTATTTATTATATAGGTCATTGAATTGGAGACTATCTATACGATTCTACACTGTACATTTTGCAACAACATTTTGGAGAAATCCTAATTTATTGGAATCAATTAATTTGATTATTGGCAACGCTTCATGAAAACATATTGTTTTGCAACTCTTTTTAAAACCGTTTTGGTTAAAAACGTAAATTATAATAGTTAGCTAATATTATAAAATGTTTGTATTGTTTGATATACCAGTATATGTGTTATATATATGTATAGCTGGAGAAAGGGTTATATTATATATCTGTAAATGATTAGGATGACGAGATTAGTTAAATTCGGAATGTTCGTTCGCCCGCGAGTCTGTACAAGTATCTGTGGGCGATACCATCCATCGGACGATAACATCGCACATTCCTTATATAACGGTTATGTTGAAAACTACTAAAGGTGCGATAACTTTTTTTTTACAGTCTAAATAGTTCGGAAAGGATTTTTACTAGCAGCATCAAAATTTGACAATGAGCGTGGCACCGGCCACCTTTACGTGACAGTCTATATCTTAGGAACTACCTGACCAATTTCAACCAAACAGCGTCACATTACTCCGACATTCTTATGGTTAATTTTGAAATTGTCATCGGATTATAAACACGTTTACTCCTTTATATCACAATTTAAATTTATTATGATTCATCGCAATAAAACCTTTCAGAAATAACGCCTTTAAAGTGCGCCATTTCACATTAAAATCTGACTATATATATATACCATATATATGATGTATATCGCCTAATATGTGAGTTATCTCACTGGAAGGCAGAGACCGCCTCTTTCTAATAAAGGCTCTATGGGACTAAAATTAATAAAATCGGGTCAAAACTTTCCCCCGCTCGCGTATATTTAATATTATAAAAGGATTTTCAAGCCTACGGTTGACTTTATACCATACGCTCGTATGTATATCGGTCAGTCTGTGAGGTGATTAATGAAACTCAGAGAGCATGTTTTTCGGGTAATAATATGTCTTCATGCCAAAATGGGATAAAATCCCACCAACATTACCTCCAACTAACATATGAATTTTAAACTTGGCATTATATGTAAGATAACTTACCAAAATCAAATGAATACTAAAAACTTGTGAAATCGGGTTCAAGCTAGATGCAGTGATTTCCACTTTACCTAAACCATTTTTGTTGGTCAAAATGTGTAAAATTTTGATTAAATGGACTTATTTTTTTAAACGTAATTTGGTTGAGGGCTGCATATAAATCAAATTAATAAAGTATACTAAGGAAACTACTTGAGAATACGCTACTTTCGGGCTTTCAAGTCTAAAGAACTAACAAAATTCATATAAATATGAAATGGATTCAGAAGCCGAATTTTGAGGCGTCGACATACCCAGCCAGTGTCTGAAGTAGGGTTTGAAATCTAGAAAAGTTGCTGCATGGGTGGGAAACCTGAATTTCATTTAATGATTTGAAATGAATTTAATTTAGGGGAAAACACTTTTACCGATATGAGTGGTAATATTCTCTGAAGGAGGCCTGTTTAAAATTTACTGGACTGACTAATGTCTTTAAAATTGATTGGGCTTTCTTACTTACTTTCTTCTAAAAATTTTCATTATTTATCGATAAAGCTCGCAGTTGGTACGTATGGCACATTTGCTATTATGTTATCGAGTAATTTTTTCAGTTCTACTTATATTTATATACTATGTAAGTACAAAGGTACAAATATAAATGTTATGTGTATTTGTACGTATACTACTAAAACAAAATATAGTGATACGTGTACAGTTGAAAAATATGTATGGATATATATTTCTGATGTTTATATATGTTTTTGTATGTGATAGATAAAAAAAGAAATAAATATATATTTTATAAGTGGTAGCTCAGGTAGTGTTATAAAAATCACAAAGCTTCTGTGTATATTAGTATGTAGGTATGTATATTTAGTAACGAAAATACTTCAACGATAACATAATTTAGTATTAAAAGATAATATTTTGCTTTATTCACTTGTATACAAATATACATATATATCAGCTGGCAGCCGTAGTTCTGCCTTAAGTAATGCAATTTATGTACAAGGTTTGTTCAAATCTAACGGGAATTTACATTTTTTTAAACAAATTTTTATTCATTAATGTTCGTATTATGACTTACGCCAGCGATTCTTCCAATCGTCGAAACACTTCCTCACGAACAAGTTCTTTGATCCACTTCTGTTAACAAACGGAAATCGCCAAGTTCATAAAAACACATCTAAGCTTAAGGGCTGCTGCAGACAGAGTATTTTTCCATGGGATACAAATCCATTCTTAAATTTGCCTACATTAATTTTTAACTGATTTTTTCCAAAATTTCAAAATCATCTTCATTTTATTTCTCTTATATACCTTCTGCTCAAATATAAACGAGACTTTATCCATAACTCGACAAGGACATGACATATGGCCATACTTTATTTAGCTTAGGTTGGCAGGACTGTTATATGTTTACATGTCAAATTATATATAGGTATATTCTATAAATACTAAAGCATTCAAATTTGGAATCATATAACATCAAATACGAGCCGTTTGGGATAGTCGGAAGAAAGCAGAGGCTCTCAAGTACTATTACAGATTAATCCAAATATCTTCTTTGCTGTGACATGAATCTATTGACGTAGCACAGATCTGAGACTTTACAAGACTATGCAGGTTGGTCACACTGACAACGTAGAAATCAGTTGTTCTCTTTTGTTTTCATTTGAGCAATGTTGCCAAATTTCGCGTATATCCCATGTTACGGACGGTAGAAGCGGTGGGGCGTGTTCATTTGCATTGCGCTCTCATAAGATAGGTCGTACCAGCTGATACGGGTGACGGTTTTGCGTCGGTCACTAACTGAAGCATAAGCGATAAATTACGCCTACATACATATGTATGCACGTATATATACACCATCATAGAGTATTAATTTCGTTTGTTTATCAGAAAAGGTTAGATAATGCTAATAAACAAACCACCAAATGAGACAAAATCGAGCAAATAAGGCCGACAACTAATCACAGATATATTATAAACAATTCATTATATTATATTACTTTTTAAGTACGCCGAACTTATTCGACGCAAATTGCTTCGGCAATTAAAAAATGATAAACGAAACTGATAACAGAGCAAAAAGCTCAACTAAATTGGCAGAACTTGCGAAGTGTCGCAGAAAGAAATCGTTCAGAAATACTCTTCAGTAATATATGTCAAACGCTTAAAAAAAACCTCATATATTTATGGTCAAGATTTAATCAAAACAATAGATGCCAAAATTTTAGACCATTATTATCAGTGCAGCGGGAACACGGAGGAGAAGATATGGTTTTACCATTACTTGTCTACTTGGTATTTAAGACGAGTGCAAAGAGGCTTTGCTGACCAAACTCAAATTGGTTAAAATGAAGTTAGCTTCGACATTATTGCTGCTGGTCGCTGGCAGTTTCTGCCTCTTCCATGGATGTATAGCTAGTGTGATTGCTACACCACAGCATGTGAACGATGAGTCGAAGGCTGATGATCAGCTGTCAGAACCGATCGCACCAATTAGTGCGATAAATGAAGAAGATAAATTAGAGGGTCTTGAAACACTATTTGAACGCAACTTATATGTGGAGCCAATCAAAGGTGCCGATTACCAGTATATAAAGTCTGCGGCAGTTAGTGTTGATGAGAAGCCTGCTGAAGTTGAAGAAGATTATGTTGAACCCGAACCCAACAGTGAGGTGGAAGATGAGTTAGTTCAACCGGAAGCTGATGTAAATGGAAAGCCAGAAGGACGTGCTAACGGTAATAATAGGCATATTTCACAAATAGTAATTGCAGAACACTTATTTCCCTCCGTAATTTTTTTGTTTTTAGAGTGCAAAGTGACCATCCGTGGTGGTCTGCCTACCCCTCAGCCCATTTATTTGAAGAGCGGCTCCGAGGAATTCTATCCATACGACACCCGCGGTGTAATGGTTGTCGATTCAGGTAAAACTTTAGAGATGTGGTGCCCCGGAAAGTTTACCACAATTGATAAGACACTCCTTACCGCTTCTTGCGTTAGTGGTACCAACTTCAGAGTGGATGGTACTACGTACTCAGTTAAGGAATTGACTTGCAAATCTTGGCCGGGTTTCGTGGCTGAAAAGACCGGCGCTTCGTGCAATGGTGGCATTATGGTACGCGTTGGCTTCAAAGTCTCGTCAAGACGTTTCGTCGAGCAGTATCAAGTTTGCTTCAATGAAGACGAAGAAGTTACACGTTATGTACATCACGATTTGAACCCTGGCAGCAATTACTATCAGACAGGAGTGGACCGTATCACCTTCCAGACTGGTGGTTTCTTTGATAGCAAAAATGTCGATAAACTGTACACTCAAGTCACACAGCAGGCGACTATCAACGCACATTTGGGCGGCGATGCCAGCAAATACTTCACAAGTAACAAGAATATTTACTTAGCACGCGGTCATATGGCCGCCAAGGCTGATTTTGATTATGGTAGCGAACAGCGTGCCACTTTCCTCTTTATCAACGTCGCTCCACAGTGGCAGGTCTTCAATGCCGGCAATTGGGCTCGCATCGAAGATGGTGTACGCGCAAAGGTTTCCAGTGCAAAGTGGTATGTTGATTGCTACACTGGTGTGTACGGTGTGACCACTTTGCCCAATAGCGACGGTGTGCAGACTCCACTGTACTTGTCATATGATAGTAACAATAACGGACAGATTCCCATACCCAAACTGTATTTCCGTGTTATAATTGAGCGCAGTAGCCAAAAGGGTATTGTTTTCATTGGTGTAAATAATCCACATTTGACATTGAATGAAATCAAGAAGGACTATATCATTTGCAATGATATTAGCGACAGGGTTAACTATGTTAACTGGAAACGTACCGATATAACTGCTGGATATTCTTATGCTTGCGAGGTCTCTGATTTCAGAAGGAAAGTAACCCATCTGCCAACGCTTTCAGCGCCAGGTGGTTTGTTGTTGTAAATATGCAATTCGAGTGTTGTAAATAAAATATAAAGTATATATTTTTTTCGAATTTCTATAAAAGGTTCGCTGTATGTTCGAATTAGTTATTTATTGCAGGAATATTGTGTTTTAAAAAAAAAAAGGACGAAACTTTGTTTGTTGCCCATTTTGAAAGAATTTTTCTTTCCTTTCTTTGCTTCGTTCCATTTTCTTTACAAACTCCAGACAACGTGAGAGTCTTTCAGATGCAATTAATTTCTCATCAGGTGTTCCGCAAGGTAGTCAACTTGGCCAGATTCTGTTGTTGTTATTTATTAACGATATCCCTTCTGTAATAGAATACCCAAAAATTTTATTATGAACGGCGACGTAAAGCTTTTAAATCACATACTTCTACTGAAAAAGTGTATGTAGCAAACCGACATAAACAATTTGGTTGCTTGGTGTGATAGAAATTATTTGCCATTGAAATAAATCAATAAAATGTATGACGATGTGGTTTTCCCGTAGATCTGTGTACTCTTCTTCCTATATAATAAAAAACTATACACTAGAGCAAGTTTTAAACTTTACTGTAGGCCTTAAGCTTAATATAAGTTTTCATTTTTTTCCATGTTTTTGAAAGCAAAAGGTGTTCTTAGTTTTGCAATACGCTGGTCTAAATAATTTTGAGATCTATATTCTACTAAAACTATTATACAACTCTGGTAAGGTCTTAGGCCTGTATTGGAATATAGCTCTGTGATATGGAGCCTTAGTCACCAAATCTATTCTGACAAGTTAGAAGCTGTTCAAAAACAAGTTTTACTTTTTCCCTGGGGTCATTTCCGATGGCATTCTAGGTTAAGCTTACCTCCATAGTTAAAGTTAATATCCCGGCTCGATGCACCTAAAACCCTTCCTACTCTGCTTCCATTATCTATACATTTTTCAAACATTCTATTGTTGTTCTATTAACCGCCTATCTGACCACAAAATTGTAAATTTTATTCTGAGTTTCTCAAACTGGAGACATTTAGCTTGACGTATGGTATTTAGTTTTAAAAACATTATTGTGCATATAAAGCAAAGGCATCCGTTCCAACTTTCTAACCATAGGTTTCCTCTCAAGGTAGAATTTTTCAATATGGTTTCCCTTAACGTTATACCATAAAAGTTGTCGATACGAGTAATAGCTCCAACGACTTTTACAGAATTGTCTCTCTACATACCTTTCTATGACTCTATTTAGTTCTCTCTCTCTCATCTTTTTACTCTCTCTACATATCTTTCTCCATTTTTATTTTTCTCTTTTCATATCTCGCACTCAAGGGGCACTGCAATTAAACTATATTCCTTCAATATGGAGGGAAGTCAAGGTGATATATATACCAAAGGCTGGCAAAAGCTCACACATTAATCCAAAGGATTTTAGACCAATTAGTTTTTCATCATTTCTTTTAAAAACACTGGAGATACTAATAGAAATACATTTAAGGGACAAACTAAACCCAGGAAAAATGGCAGTTTCGTAGCATGCGTACTCTAAGGGTAAATCCACAGAAACGGCATTAAGCTCAGTGGTAACAGAGATTGAAAAGTCTCTGGAAATAAAAGAATACACCCTCGTAGCCTTCCTAGACATAGAAGGTGCCTTCAACAACATCCAGCCGAAGGCCATATTGAGCGCGCTTTAAGATCTGGACATCTCTGAGCCTCTCCGGAAATGAATTGAACAGATGCTCTTGGGCAGGTCAATTATTTCAACGTTGGGAGCTTCAACGATGCGCAGATCTGTCCAAAGGGGTACACCCCAAAGAGACGTGTTGTCCCCACTTCTCTGGATCCTGGCAATGAACAAAATGCTTATGGGTCTAGAAAGGAAGGGAGCGATCATGACTTACAGTATATTAGTATGGTGGCCAATTACAGAAAAGAAATATGCGATTAGAAGCATGGAAAGTATACAAAGAGCAGCCAGTATTTGCATCAGTGGAGCTCTTAGAACTACGACAAGCCAGGCACTCAACATAATTTTACACTTACTGCCAACAGATCTGTATTGCAAGCAAATGGCAGCGAAGTCAGCTCTGAGACTGAGGGAGTCCTCCCTATTAGTCGCCAGTAACAAGGGGCATTCTATGATACTCAGAAAGTTCCCGTTTCTTCCCATAACCACGGATTTTCCCAATCCTATGGAACTGAACCTAAATCCGGTCCTCAATATTGCCTTCCCCTCCAGAGAGGAGTGGGAAAGGGGCGTAGTGGACAAGGAAGCAGGGATAAGCTTCAATATGGATGGTTCCAAACTGGATAACCGAGTAGGCGGCGGTATCTTCTCGGCTAAACTAGATACCAAAATCGCCTTCCGGTTACCAGACCACTGCAGTGTCTTCCAAGCGGAGGTCACTGCAATTAAAGAAAGTCTTCTTGTACTAACAAGAAGTGTGATCACAACAAGAAATATATTTATATACACAGCCAGCCAGGCGGCTTTGAAATTTGATTTCGTCGAAGACAGTGAAAGAATGCCATGATCTTCTAGCGGATCTGTCATCCTATTTCACGGTAAATATGCAATGGGTCCCAGGACACAGTGACATCCCCGGGAACTGTGTAGCAGATGAACTAGCCAAAACAGGCACCACCCTACAACTAGATCCTGGTAAGAAGGACATAAATATGCTTCTGGCTACTTGTAGATACTTAATCGATCATAAACATAGCCGAGTGTCAGTATAATCAGTCCCTGACCTGCTCAACTAGCAGGCAAACGTGTCAAGAATGGAATATGATCCGCACATGCATAAGAACTCTAGTAGGAGTAGACTTGGCACGGCATATAACGACTATTGTAAAAGCTGTCAGGAAGTAGAAGAGGAGGAGAACATTAAACATCTTCTATGTGATTGCGCAGCTCTATATAGGAGAAGAATCGCAACCATCGGTCGTCGGTTTCCTGACGACGTCTCGGAGGTCGCACGGATAAAACTTTTCTTACTGGTGAAGTTCATCAGAAGTACGGGGTGGTTCAGAGAGGAGCCAATAGAGTGAGGGGACCACAGTCCCAGTGGTATCACAATGGGCCTCCTAAAGGCCTAGGTGTGTCGCATGACAGCCACTTTACCTACCTACCTACCTATCTCGCACTCTTTATGAAAGTATATCTTTTTTCTTCCTCAAATTCGACAATGCATTTAATAATACTTTTTTCTCGCAAGATTAAGTCCAAATAAGTTTACCAACTTTAATTTCCTTATTATAAAATAGTTTAGCTATGCATTAAGAGTTTGAAGTCAAAGTTGATTTTCGAAACGATAGCTCCGCATTGCTGGTTTAATTCAAAACGATTTCTTTACAAAAGCCACGTTGACTCGCATCTGTTAAAGATCTGTAATAAATATATTTTAACACTAACTTTAACCTATATTTAGGTGTTCTCTATTACCAAAAAATAAATATAAAATATATCAAAGTATGAATAGAGACTTCTAAAACTTCAATTTCGTTTATCTTGTGGAATTAGTTTCTAAAAATTTGTTTCGTCGTCTACTGTGCTTATTAGTTGTTGGTTCATTTAACGACTATCTAGGTGATATCTCTGTTATGTCTATACAAAGAGTTGGAGCTAAATTTGCCGCAAGTGTTTGATTATTTGCAATTACTTATTCTTTTTCCAACTTAGGCATATATAATATAATATATAATATATTACTTATAAAGATAAGTGTCACTAACCACTTTACTTTGTCAGCAATGGTGGCAACTTTAGTGTTCTTTATCATAGCAAATTTTATCATCTTAAGCAAGTATTGTTGTAAATTGTTAGCGAAATTTCCACGTGATAATATAGACACTAAAACACGTTGTTTTAATAATATATGGTACATGTTTTATTTATTTCTATTAATGTTGCACTGTCTACACATTTTATTGCCATTTGAGTATTGGGATTAAATATTTCTTGATTTATTTACAAAGCATTTGTCTTTTACTGTTGTTATTAACATTAGTATATGTTAATAATTTTTAATCAGACGCATATTCTGGTACTTATATAATTCTATTATATAAATATATATATATTTACATTTGAACGTCCTATTCGCAAAAACAAGATTTTGCTAAGAATAAGCCTCCCTACTCTTAAGCTATGGCTATTATACTTCTTTGATACAAATTCTCTTTTGCGCAAATTTATTTAGCCTACTTATTAATTACTCTATTTATATTTTTTTACGTGTATTTATTTTTTTATTTATGTGGATGTACATATACCATATACTACCCACGATTATTTGCCGTTATGAAGACTTGAGTGGAAGAAAGGTATGCATGATTAGTTAGTATTAACTACAATAAAGTATTTTACTTTCATAAATTTATCTAAGGTAGAATTAATTGGAGTAAAATTGATTTAATTCACATTTTCAGATAGTTTAAAAAATTAGATATTTCTTTACAAAGCGATTTAATTACTGTGATTTCGTTAGCGAAATATAATAAAATTTTAAATAATTAATATTTTTTAAACCGAGAATAGGCAGATATTACCATGAGTACTAATTGCGAAACTCGAGTAGCCAAGGAATTGGTCAACGAAATTACAAAAACAACATCTTTAGATAGTAGTATAAGATTTTCTAGAGAGATAGCACTCAAAACAGCGGTCAAAATAAACGCATGGCTTTGAAATTTGTGTTCAGTATATTTTGATAAATTAACAAGCGAAGAGTGAAACAACTGTCTTTCTTCAGCGAAGAGTCATACGAGATGTGTTCAGAAAGCAACGTAGATTTACAAATTTCGCGAAGGGTTTTGGAAAGCCCATTAGTCGATGTGAAATTTTGTAACCGCCCTTTTCTTACCAAAAAGCCGCTCGTTTGTTGGAACTGGCGATATCGGACCATCATAGCATATAGCTGCCATACAAACTGGCCGATTAAAATCAAGTTCTTGTAAGGAATCTTAAAGGTATAACCCATCAAAATAGAAAAAAATTAACGAAGTTTTAAAAATTTCAAACTTGGTGTGTATTTGAAAATTTTGAGTAATCTTTATGAATATACTTGTAATAATAATACTTTTTAAATACTGTTTCAAACTTTTCTAACATTAGGGCATGTCTAATTGATAGAATACAAAAATCATTATTTTGTGGCCATTTTGAAAATTAAATTTAGCCACGGAATACTTTTTCGACCGCCGCGACACATATAATAGCAAAGCTTCAAAATGAAATCAAAGTAACTTAGCTTATAACTTAGTTTATATACAATTGAAGCTAACTAAATTTAGATTTCTAGTATGTATGACTATCTTCAAGTATTTTTTAGCCACTGCAACTGACTTAACATTTGTTATATGCTTTGAATTATATATTTTATATATAAACGTATAACATTATATTTACATATGTACATGCAAGTACAGCTATAAAGCTTTTGCTTAATTAATTATTACATAAGCTACAATTATAACTATAATATTACATGGTGTCAATGCTTATTTGTTTTTCTGCTATTGTCCTGCTAAAATACATTTTGGTTCTCCTTTTTTGAATCTCACATAAAGGTATGTACGCATGTATACGAGTATTTATTTATTGTGTCTTAATCTAGAAACTATTTTGTTTGATAACTTTTTCTGTTTTTTCTTAGTTTTGCGTCAACAATTCATAACGGTATAATAATGCTCAAAAAATAATAGTAATGTGACTCTCGATACTTTCGCTTGGTTTTGCTCGATTTCGTAGATTTCGTTCTTGCTTTGGTTCGCTATATATAACTAGAGCCATAAAAGCAAGCTGCTTGTAATCACCATTCTCGCTGCGCGATTTGACTGAGTTCAGCCCGACAACATTAAGCAGCTAAAGCTGCAAATTTTTTGAACACAGTAATACGGCTCATTGAAATTCATGCAACACTTTCGAATATCGGCAATTAAAGCGCTGCTTTTCGCCCTTACAAAAACAATCCACACAGCAGGATATAAGGTTATGCCAAATAATTTCTTCCTCTCGCTTGTTGGCCGCAGCCAATATATCTACATACTAAAGCCCTTAATGGAGAGTTGGAGAGGGGGAAAGAGTTGATGCAAGCATTTCCAGAGGTTAAAAGCTAATGATATAGTTTAAAAAACCATAAATTGGTAACTCCTCATATTTAAAGTGGTGAATTCCATATTAATTTATTATGATATAAATTGCATACCCTTCACATATGTAAAGGTTTAACAAAAAGGTATACAACGATCCACTCGTTGAATAATCTTTAGATTTCATTTTGGAATAAGACAATACTTTGATAACCAGAAACAAATGGTGCAGAGATCAATGGATGTATTTATTCCCTTATTTGATTAATTTAACTCTTCAGTGTTATTAATTACTCTTTAATATACGGCCAGAAAACCACTCCCTGAAATTTAGTAACAGGTCACAGCCAATAAACACTTTTAGATTAGCTAATCTAACGTTTCGTTCAGCATAAGTATGAATTATGCTCAATTCAGCCACAATAAGGCAATGTTACCAGCTAATGGTTAAACTAAAAGGGAGTTTTTTCTTATTTCAATAGAATGGCATGAGTGATGATTTGAAAAGCCACCAGGTAACGATGAACATTTTTAAAGGGGTTTATAAGTGGAAAACATTTTAGGATTGATTCCAACTTTGTTGACAACGGCAGCACTGCTTAAATGGAGATTTTAAAATATGTAAATTTTTTTGTGGACAACGAATGAAAGTTTAATAACGAAGAAATTCATTATAGCAAACACCTGAACAACTTGCTGGATAAGTATAGAACTCGTAATGATTTGGATACACCTTGACAAAGTGGAATAAGATTATTGGCCCTAGTTTAGGCGAGATTACTTCCAAATACATATTTTAAGGCTTTAATTTGCGTGCGAAAGATGGTGGTATTGCTATGTTTTCGAAATATCAAAAAAAGTTTGGATATATACATTATCATTGTTGAAATCATTTTGTGAAGTAATTTGGGTCGCAAAAACGTAGATCTGAACTTACGCCTTTTATTTCCTGATCTAAATATGGTTGCACTGAATTATTCCCAAATCTAAAAAGAAGATAAATCTTGGCGTGACTTTCTATTTTTACCGCTCTAAACATTCAACAACAAAACAAAGGTAAGATCTTACAAAAGATCTACTGAAGGAACCTTAAATAACACTTAACCAAGCAAAGCTTCTACCACAAGGCAATAATAGGATTCTTACTCCATTTTAGGCTTCTCGTTCATCACATACCATATATTTATATATAATATCGGTAATTATCAGCCATAAAACTGAAAATGGTTATATTGATATTGAGGTTAATTATACTGATTATAGTACAGAATGTAATTGTATGAACGTGTTGTGTTTTACTTTTTATTACAGAAATATATTAAAAATAGAAATAAAAATGTAATTTTACACCATCAGAATATATTGCTTTTGTGCGTGTTTAGCAGGATTTTGCTTCATATTACCATTAAACTGTTAAAATAAGAACTTTCTTAACTCAACTCTACTTTAATAACTTAATATTTGCGGATTTATGTATATGAGCAAATAATATGTATGTATAACTGTGCGCAGTCCTGTAGTGTGGTATAAAACCAGTGCCAAGTAAAGCCATTAAAGTTGTGAGGGAAATCCGAAAAGCTTGCAGCGGAAGTAAGCAAAAGTTTGCCGTGTTGCCAATAGCCCTTAGCTTATCTTTTTTTAGTTATGAAATTTAATAATAGTTAGAAAACAAATAAGCTGTTTAGAAAATTACACTTTTACTTTAAGCTACGTTAAATAAGTGTTTAATTTTCGATATTTAAAAAATGTTGCGGCTAATAAAGCTTAAATTTACCTAATTTATTTTTTCACTTGTTTTGACTTAATATTTGTATGCTATCAAGTAGTAAATAGCATTTTGTAATTAAGCTTTCTGCCAGTTAAATACACAAAGCCTCTCGCCTAAGAGACCTACTTTCTATAAACTCTTTGATTTATCCCAGGGAGATTAATTTGAATGACTCGAAAGATAGCTCTCTAAAAAAAATATAATAACATGTTTTGTTAAAGACTACAGATAGGAGAAGTATCAATAAAATTATAAAGTATCCGAAGGTTTTCAAGTCTGTAATTGCGCTTGATGTCGCAAAGGCTTCTTTATGAAACATTTTATTTTTGCGGCTATGCCCAACTAAAAAGCCTGCTTAGTTTTGTGTCTAAAGAGCTACTTAGACCTGCTGCTCTTTATCTAAAACTTCCGTAAATTACAGTTGTTTTCGGATTATAAAATTATTTGTTTAACTCAGATTTTCACTAACTAAAAATATTAAAATGTGACTTGAATGTCGCCGAATAAATGCCCTAAAAAGTCGGTCGACACCGTTGACTTTGTTTCAGAGTAAGGGAAAGAAGTTTCGTGCACGCAACGGCAATTGGGTTAAAAATATTTGAGCGAACATTTCTGGTTTCTCAACTAAGAAACTACAATATATTACGTAGCATTACGAGTAGAGCATTAAGCGAACTTTTACTTGAACTCAACAGTTTGGTCCTTTTGTCCACTTTGCTCACATGTTCTGTCTGATACACTAAAAGACCTTTTATTTTCTTACACTACATGTTAGAACGTTCAGTTAATCTGACGAAAATTTAGGTTAGAGCTTTTAAGAAAGAGGGGACCAAGCAATATAGTAGAGGTCATTATAGGGCATCTTTGAGGTAGATTTCCATCAGAAATTTGGTAAAGTAGAGTTGGGAGAATGCATAGCATAATGATGAGACGCTATTGTATGATTTCCTAATACGGATCGCTCGGACGGAAAGTGATACCTATCCTTCATTGCAATTTGCCCAAATACCACGTTTTAGTAAACAGCCGCAGGAACGTTACAGAACAGAGATAACCCAGAGTCAACCGGAGCTTTACTTGATTACTTTTATTAAGCCTATCAATTTCGGCCGAAGAATGGTAATTACAAGGTTATCCATGATTACAAATGTGTATAAGTATATCATGACTAAATGTAAGCTCGCCAACTTTTAAACTCATTAAATAAAGAACGCGCAACACATTTTACAGAAGTACCGAAACTTGTGCGTATATCTCAACTACTACCAGCAATATCATTATCGCTATATTCACAGCGCTGTTGACTCGTCGTAATGGACATCGGCGCTGACGCTGAAGCTCGCGTTGCCACTTGCGTTGACCCCGCTGCTGTCGTCGTAACCATTGCTGCTGCCAAATTTGCAACTGTAATTGCTGCAATTCGGCCGCTTCGCCGTCGGCTGTCGCGATTGCCGGTTCATTATGCCCGACGCCGTCAGCTCTATCGCCGTTGCCGCTTCCATCGTCCTTTCGCGCATTTCCAAAGCAACTACAAGCGCACGCCGGCCAATGTCAAACCGACGCCAACGACGATGTGCTATCATAAGCGACCAACAAGGAATCGTTCTCATCACTACCACTGCCCGCACTACGCTCCGACTCGTTGATCACCTCGAGTCGTGTCTGCGGCTGTGTGATTTTGTACTTATGATGCCGTTTGTTAATCAACACAGTGCGTATGTTGTTGTTCCGCGGTCGCGATGAGTGCGTGTGTACGTGCAGGTGTGACGGTCGCAGTGTGCGGTGGCACTGACGTTTCTGATGCATTGATATGGCGCCGAGCATCGTGCAATCGGAACTATCCTCATCGTCATCGTCATAGTAGTAATCATCATAATCGTAATCGTCATCGCCGCATTCCAGTTCTTCGTCATCGTCATCTTCATCGTAATCGTCGAAGTCGAAGAAGCAACAGCCGGTCGGTTTGCGCTCAACATCGGGTATGTAGTTGAGGCGACGCTGTTTGCTTTCGCTGCCGCCGTTACAGTGATGATATGCCGTCGTCGCTGCTGCCGACGAAGTGGTTTTTGCCTGCGATTGGTAATGGGAGGAGAGGTGATATGTGTGACTACTTGGTAAGCGTGTTTCGACTTGGTGAGAGTCGTTGCCGTTATATCTTAGTTCAATTACCTCAGGACCCTTCCATGTGATACCAGAACGTACCAAATTGTAGAATCGCAAAACGCCCCACATGGCGAGCACCTGCAAGGCAAAAATAAGTGAAAACCTCTTGAGATCTATTGAAAATATATATGCATTGAAAGTATAATGTTAATGTATTTATATGTATAGGTGAGTATATCCATTATTCTACACTTCAATTGAAAGAAGAGATCTGATTCGTCTTCGTCCTTAATTAATCAAATGTGTATGATTGTGCCGACAAAGTCAAAGTTCATTGGCCACATCGACACTATTTGTAAGTTTGACATCTCGGTTGTCATTTGTTGAAGCCCTATTGCTCTGTTCGATGACTTGCGGTACGTTAAATATCTTTAACCCATATTTCCAACTAATATCTTAATAGAATATATTTATAGAATTTTTAGAACTTATATTCCGCTCTAGTATGAAAATTCTCTTGAATAAGAGCTTAAATTTGACAGCTTGACGTCAAGAGCTGAACGGTAAAGAACTGTACACATGTACCAGATAGCATGTATAAATTATATAGTTTTAAGGAAAGCATATCCTTTGCGGTTTCATTATTCAACTTATGTAGGTACATGGTGAATAAGTCATGAGTTAACGTGGCACATAGTTTACATAAAATTTTGAGTACCTAAAAATTCATGACCTATAGACTCATATATGTCCATTACGTTCCTCTAATATCTTGGTAAACGTGTTTTTCACATTTTGAATGCTTTTGAAATGTTCATTCAACTCCTTTGGAGGTTAGGTTAATTTTGATATTGGTCAGACCGACATATCGGGACAATACATGTTAGAATAACGAAAATCATTATAAGTAGTATATGAGAGTTGGGGGGTAGTATGGACCCGATTTGATAAGTTTTTGCCAATACCACATACCGTTAACTAGACTAATGAAATGCTCCCAGGGCTCTTATAAAGTCTTCTCATACCATTTCGGGGGTAAAATTTCATGTCTCTGGCGTATTTAGTTACTGCTTTATAGGGCTTTACGTAGTTTTTAACAGTACCGTTATATGGGGAGTAAGAAGGTCCATCATGGTGTTCTGTGGACACGGCAGCTGTTTGATTAGGCCCATCAACGAACTCGTCCTTACTTTTGTTTGCCAAAAAACATGTGTACTAAGTTTCATAATGATATCTCAATTTTTACTCAAATTACAGCTTACACAGAGAGATGGACGGACGGACAGACAGACAACCGGATTTCAATTCGTTTCGTCATACTGACTATTTATATATGTATAAATCTATATCTTTCTCGATGAGTTTTTGGTGATGCAACAACCGTTAGGAGAACAAAACCTTTTTTTTTAAAATTCTTTTAAATGATTTCAAGATTTATGTATGCTGTTATCTCTAAGTTTGGATAAAAATGTATGATGACCAAAAAGTCAAGGGCATTTATAACGCACGCTTATTTACTTCAATTTGGGCTAGAGTTGTTGTACATATATTTATATATATGAGTAATAACACCGTAATAATATATTGTCATACATACATATATCATCATTCATACAAATCATTAATCAATATAAAAATTACACCCTCTTTGCACAGTTGGTGAATATCACAGTAACAAACACAGTAAAGAACGATTAGTTATTTCATGACACTGTACATATATATTTGTACGAGTATGTTACATTAAATGTATCCATTATTCTCCGATAGATTCGTATCTTGATACAATAAATAATCCCAATACTTGCGCAGTAAAGGGCAAATCACTAGTGGCTGCAACAGGTGCCGCTGGCATCAACTGCTGTCAACAACATAATTTTTCAAAGCAACAGCTTTTTCTTTTCTACAATTTTTTTCTTGAAATATCCTGTGTAACTGGGCTATGAGTATATTTATGTACATTCCTTATATATATGTTCAGAGGTTTTCCTTTTATCTGTGATGACACGTGCGTGGCTTGGAATATGGCAACTACCTTGTAGGGAAAGTAGTCAGGTGAGCGCTTATAAAGAATGACAATTGAAAAGGCATAGTACTGTTTTGTAATTTTTTAAATAAATTTATGAGACCGGTAAAACCGTGTGCCGTCCGTCTGCTAATAGAGACTTAGATATAACCAATAAAAGTCCTCAAAAAAAAAAAATTTTTTGCCGGTCAATTTGTTTGACCATATAAGGATCTACATTTATTTTAAGAATTTAACTAGTGCACCTTTTTCCTACAGGGTATTTCCATAATCTTTGTGCATTTGAGCAAGCTGGTTTCTGTACATGTCAGCTACATTTCACGCCACACTACACAATATTCCACCGGAGCGTTCATTTCTGACCTCAGCCCATTTGCAGACTTGACATCACTCAACTAAATCTTACTGAATATATGTATAGGTAAGTGTGTGCGAAAGTGGATGTGTGCAAACGCAAATCCTCGTGACCAACAAAGCATTTCATAAGCAGCACCAGACATGCATAACTCCCAGTGGAAGGTAAATATGTACTTGTAGTACCGAAGAATGTGAGGCAGAGAAACAAGAGCGAAAGAATGGACGCGCTCATGCTTGATACATAAATAAAATAAAATACGGTGTACAGCAATGTATGCGGTACTTATGAATAAAAGTGGATATACAAATAAACCACAAGTGACCTATGACAATTGCATTTGTCCTAGTGCCGCGAGCGAAATCAACATTATTACGCGGAATGTGAGGTTAGGAATACGTATGAATTTCAAAGGCACCTGACCAAAAACCGCATATGAATCAAATGGAGAATTTACTATAGTGACACCAGCAATGAATTTTCTTAGTTATTAATATTCTGAGCGTAGAACCTTTTCGGATTTCTTCTCAGCGTTATAGTTTTACCTCTCTTAACACATTTCTGCCCGATTTGTATTTATATATCCACGCAACAGTGGTCATATCTTGAAAGTTGCTGGCGATTTTGATTAGGTTTTTTTTTATAAATCATAAAGGAAATATAAAACAATGAACACTACTCATAAAACGTGATCAAAGTTCAAATAATGGGTGTTTTTTTTTAAAGTCAAACTTGAGATATTTTCAGAAAACAGAAAATATATTTTCAAAGCTTTCCAGCAAAGAAATACCGGGATTATAACATTCTAAATTATTTTCTTAAGAAAAAAAAAGAAAAAAAAATTTCCTTAGAGTATCAGTTATATAGGAGCTAAGTCAAGTTTTTATCCATTTTAGGCAAAAAGATACGCTGTTATAATGAAAAATACGCTCTATATTTTGCTAATATATGCGGTATAAAGTCAACTGGAAGCTCGAAAATCTTTATATTAGTTACATGGAGGCTAAGGAAAGTATTGACCCGGTTCAACCCACTTTTAACACAAGGGTATATTATTAACAATGAAACATTTTCCCAGAATTTCAATAACATATCTTACAGATTGACCGAAATTTCGGCAAGAAGTCAGCCATACGCATTTGGATCCGCATATTCGGTATGTGGGGACTTTAACAGGTATAGTCGTATTTTGACAATTTGCCAGCCACTGAAAAGTGAAAGAATCAGATGAAATTTATAAATGTGTTACATGAGAAGTAGGCGTGGTTGCAGTCAGATTGCGCGCAACAAACTTGGTTGAAATTGGTCGAGTAGGTCCGGAGATATGTGATTTCATATAAATGTGGGCGTTGCCATGCCCATCGTCAAATTTTGACCCCGGCTCCTATAATTAATATAATTTTATCATCGTAAGTGTAAAATTTAAAGTCTCCGAGTTTTTTATTTAAAGAGTTATCGCACTTTTTGTAGTATTAATCCTAACCCTTATATGCGAAGTAGGCGGGGTTATCAGCAGATTTCACCCATTTATACACTGTCGGTAGGGTTGGTAAAAATATTTGTCCTCTGGTTAATATAGCTTTAGCGGTTTAGGAGACATGCACATTTAACCTATTAGAAGACGAGGCTATGCACACTTTTTCAACAAATTTTAAACTGCAGATTCCCCTCCTTAATGCAATTAATTATACAGAACAACTGTCCTGTATCTTATGGTGGAGTAAGTTATGACAATATATTGGTATTGGAGAAATGGCGTTTTGTGGGCGTGGCAGTGGTTCGATTACGACCATCTACAATATCCCCCTTCCTACGGTGCTAAGAAACTCGACTATTTTTTGATAATACAATCAACCGTTAGATTAACAAAGCTATTATACTTTGTGGTAACATGTTGCTAAAGTATACAAATGATTTTGTTTGCACGCCGTCCAGGTACATTATCGTCGCTCCAGCTGTCTACCTCTTCCAGCAGTTCCTTGAATGTTACAAACTTCCGTTTCTATACATTTTAAGAGTTTTTACAAAATGTCAACACCCGCAGTATTTCAAAATTGCCATTTCAATAGCATACACTTCGTAACACAGCTGATTTTGTTTGACACTTGACGATCAAAAAGTTGCCATAGAAATTAATTACAGGACGCGTTGCATTTAGAACCCTTATCATTGGGTGCTTTATAACCCATCGAATATCTCAGGTATGTAGAAAGTTACAAACCTGAAATTTCGCAAAGCACCTTCTATGGCCTATATAAACTTTCCCATACATTTTCGTACGGCGGGAGTACTTTTATCTTCTTTGAAATACTTTTCATATATTATATGTGCAATAAAGTTTTAAGATTTCCTTTTTTAAATGTTGGAAGAGATTTGCCGAATGGTTCTATAACCGTCGAAACAATTTTATTTCGAAAGTTGCGAACCCTCGAATCGGCTAACATCCAAGAAAGGAATTCACTAAAGGTAGCACCAAGGGATCGAAGTTTTTATTATTTGGTGTTTCTTGTGTGTTCCTACATTTAAATGTCATCAAGGACTTAATTCCGATCGTTTAGTTTGTATAGCAGATTTATGCTATAGTGTTTAGATAACAACGGTATCGACAAATGAGCTTTTTGGGAAAAAAGTACGTGCACAAAATAGAAAATCGATAACTGAAAAACTGAGGGACTAGTTCGAGTATGTACAGACAGACTGACGGACATGCCTAAATCGACTCAGCTCATCACGCTAATCATTTATATATATAGTTATATATGTTATATGGTATCTGACGTTTCCTTCTGAGTGTTACAAACTTCGTGGCAAACTTAATATGCCCTGTTCAGGGTATAAAAGATCAACTGGGAAAATAACGAGCATCATAGTATACATAACTATATACTCGTACATAAGTTTATATATATGGAGTAGGTGTGAACCACTTCATCCAAATGAGCGACGAGTAACTGTATATTTAATAAAATTGCATTTGCATACGTAAGCAACGTTGTTAAGCAGCCTGGGAATATACAAATGTACTATACGAGTATACTCGTATAAGAGCTGAGTACTCGTGTTACTACTAAGTAGTTATAAATGACAGCGTATACAAAAAAAGGATTTTTTATTTAAAAGTGTTACATTTAGAATATTTTATCATTCAGATTAGCGAAAAGTACTCCTTTCGGCAAGTATATAGAAAGAGTGGAAAATTTAGGTCATATTTAGTGAATTATTTAAAGAGTTGCCATGATAAAGTGACAAAAATAAAATTAAAGCTTCTTTTTGTTGAACCGCCGGCATTTTAGTTCACATTGCAACCACAGAAACAACAAAATATTTTTATATTTCACTTTTTTCCAACTTAATTTACTTGAATATCGTGGCTTCCTTCCATATTATTAAAGAAATGGATGAAATTTATGTATTTTATTAATTTTAGACACACACACAAACGTCAACAATAAAAAAAGTAAAGAGATACAGCTGATAGAATAGCAAACTCAAAAAACATACCACGCCGTGTTGTATTTGTCGTATTCCAATTTTGGATGGGAAACAACAACAGTGCTGGTATGACAGTCATAAGAAATAAGACAATATGACACTTTGTGAATACCCTAATTATTTTTGATGTCATTTATAGGCATGTTCATCAGAACCTCGTTTATGGCTGCTTGAATGGTTGGGATATCATCATAAAATGCTCCCTTGTGCATGTTGGTTTTCAGTTTCGGAAATAGAAAATAGTTGCAAATTTATTTTTTCCATCAAAAATTCGCTCACTTTTTTGGACATCATTTAAATAATGTGGAACAAAACGGACAGAGACCTTTCTTTTACCCAAATCTTCAGATAATATTCTCCAAATAATGTCTTTACTTGTATTTAATCCCACAGGCAAAATATCAGTTGGTGTTTTCGACAGCTGTTACTTCCCAATGTCCAACGTTTACAAATTGTAATAAGTAAGGAAGCGCTAAGTTCGCGTGTAACTGAACATTTTCTACTCTTGCAACTTGCAAGCATCAAAGCCGGCTACCGTTATATATCGAAGTTCGAAAATCTTTCTGTTAGGTATATGCGGGTTAAGAGATGTATTGATTTGATTCAATCCACTTTTGACATACAGACATAATATTTGCATATTATATAATATTTCGTGGTTGTAGTCCTATTTCGACCACTTTTGCACCGTAACATACACATGTGACGATAATGTTACTTAAATTTAAATTTGGTTAAAATAGGTCAAGTAGATCCCGAGATATGGGTGTTATCCAAAGGTAGGCGTTTCCACGCTCATTGTCCAATTTTTTTATTGACTCCTATAAAGCCTAATTGTACTAAAATTTAATGTCTCTGACTTGTTTATTTATTGAGTTATCGCACTTTAAGTAGTTTTTAACAAAACAATTATATGGCGAGATTTGCAGTCTCGGTAGGAGTGCTAAAAAGATTTGTCCAAATTGAATTTGATTATTATTGCTGCAGTTTTGGAGATATGCCCATTAGAAGGCGTCACTCTCACATTTTAAAATTTTTGAAACTGCAGGTAGCTGCCTCTAATGCGATTCATTGTACCAAATAACAAATTTTGATCATATTGTGGAGCTTAGCTTTTTCGATTAAACACGTTTTGTGAGGAGTGATGATAATCCACAAGCTATTGTTGAGACGTTGTTACATCCTCAAAGAGTCAATGTTTGGTGTGCTCTATGGACAGAGGGAATCATTGGTCCATATTTCGTCAAAATTGAAGGTGGCCATAATATTACAGTCGATGGGGAACGCTATAGAGTCATGATTAATGACTTTTTCGTGCCTGAATTGAATTGAGGATGTTAATGTGGACGGCCTTTGGTTCCAACATGACGATGCTACATGTCATATAAAAACGAAACAATAAATTTACTGAAGGAAACTTTTGATGAGCGGGTTCTCTCGCGTCGTACGCCTGTGACGCGTGCTCCAAGATCGTGGGAATTAACACCGTTGGACTATTTTTTGTGGGGCTATATGAAGTCGCTTGTCAACGCAGATAAGCTCGAGACGATTGACGGGTTGGAAAAGCATATTTGGCGCGTTTTTGCTGACATACGGCCCCAATTGCTGCAAAAAGGGGTCGAAAATTGGGTCATTTGCCCAAAATCATTTTTGAAACATAATCTTTATAATAGAGCTAGTTCCTTGGCCGTAACATTATATTATATGCATTGAATTTCAACTTGAAAATCACATGTCTTAAAATTCCCTTTAAAATACTAAAGTAACAATTTAGTAAAATTTCTAAGACACATTTAAAGTTTGTGTAAACGAAATGTTGAAATAACTTAAATTGAGGAAGTCAAAGGGTCGCAATTACAGTTATATTTTCTATAACCTACTTTCGCATACCTGCGGCTGCGTACTTAAATCGAGCCAATGCTCCATACTTATAGACATATGACTACCCACATATTCAGCCACATATTTTACCCTTTATTTTACCCCTAACCTTTACGATCGTTACTACTGCGATGCGATTCGTTTCTAATGGACTTTTGCTGTAATTAAAGAGTTTAATGCGCCGTTATTGACATTAGCTGTAGCCAAGCCGCCCACTTGGCGTCCTTGGGAGCCATTGTGACTTGTTCAAAAGCAAGCTAAGCGTGTGTTTGTGTGCGTATGTGCACTTGTATGTGCTGACATGAGTATTCGTTCTCTACGCCTACACATACACATGCGTACTTACAGTAAAACATGCATGTTCAAGCAAATAAAGGTGCACATTGGTGAGCTAATGGCCATTCAGCAAATGGGTGTGGAATGAAAGTGGAAGCTAAACGCGAGAAAATGAATGGCATTTTGATGTTATTGCACATGAGATTTTTTCAAATACACTTTTCAACTTTTAGATTGTTGTTTTTGCTGTCATAGGCTACAGTTCAACAGCCCCGTAAACCTATAGCGCGTGTAACACTGCCCAAGGTTAAAATTCTGAATGGCTTTTAATGAATCTGAAATGTGTTTATGGATATCTACTAATGTAACGATTTAATTGAAGTATTCGAAAAGCTATAAAATGGGTGTACAAAAATTATAGCTCAAATATGTTGCAAATTCGTAAGTGTGTGTTCAATTTGGAAGCTCTAGTTGACTAAATTAGTCAAATTGAGCTTTCACGCGGTCTTTCATCTTTTGTGTCCTCGGGTAGATTTTTACATCTCATTATTTCAAGCATACAAGCTTTCGCTTTGTTCTGATGAAAGCTTTCTAAGCTTTCGAAACTGTCAATTGTCATTCCGATTTTCTTAAACTACAAACACAATAATATATTTTGTTAGGTGTTATGTAAAGCGTTCTCTATTTTCACATTTATTTTGGAATTTCGGACTTACATATAATGTATTATATTTGAATTTAATTTTCTATCTTCAATTTTATCATATCGGTTTTTATGGCATCCAATTAAAATAGATTAATATTTCTGGCTAAAACTAGGCTAAACTCTTATTCAATGTTTGGTCACATTTTGTTTCCATTACTGAGTCTGGCAACATCTTTTAGTACAAATATTGTTTATATTTTTCAGTTTTCTATTTTATTCTACTCCTCTTTTTCTCAAATTATCTATCACACAAAAATGTCAGCCATAAAATTTTTTGATTTGAAAAAATAGAAAGGCTTAAATTTTCTTCCAAATTGTTTATATAACGTCAATAATTAGTGCACAATAACAAGAAAAATAAAAGCAAAATTTTATCAAGTCATTGTTAATTCATATATATTTGCATTTTGTCCAGCTTGAAGAAAAAATTGTGAAATATTTGAAGAAATAGAAAAGCCGGTGTAACAGTTTTGAAAAGTTATTATTTTTCAGATATTTCTTAGTCTTTCCGAAACACCTCCACAGCTCAATGTACAAATTTACACATTTCGACAAAAAGCTTTGTCGATTTCTGCGCCACAAATTCGATCTTGCCGTGGACGATTGCGATGTCTACTCAATTTGGCATTTTTGTCCAGGCGCTCGCTGGAGAGCGATCAAAAACTTTTTGCTGGAAAGTTCGCTGTGTCAAGCTGAGTGGTTTCCCGTCATCTATTGGGTGGTGCTAGCGATCAGCACGCTTGGATCGGTAAGTTTTAGAGGAAAGAGAGTGTTTTGAGAGATAAATTAAATTTAATCACTCTCGACAGTTCTATAGCCTTAGTGAGTTTACCAGCCTTTACTGGGGTGGACGCAAACGTGTTTCTATGTGGCGTTCGCGCAAATACTACGTCATACCCTATTCGGTGTTGCGCAAATGTCGCCTGGTTGGGTCTTTAGTGATGCTCAATGCATGGTTGCTACTTTGGTATGCAGTTATTAATGTAAGTATTGGGATTTGTATACATTTTTTATTTTTCTTGAAATCATAAGTCCATATGAGGTTAGTTGCGATGTTGCCGTCCGTAAAGGTGTTGGATGGAGTATTTATTTTATTAGGGATATGATATTGCTCAGGTATACTCGCGAAAATATAGTTTTCATTAATTTTATAAACACATAACTCATACACTGACCGACATATTCGGCATAAAACTGTTAGAATAACGAAAAACATTATACGAGTATATATGATATGTAAGTTTGAGTAACTCGTGGACCAACTTCACATATTTTCAGCATTCAACTGTGGTATATCCAATATTATACGCTCATTTTGATTTTGCTAAGATGTCTTACATATTGACCGATATATACGGTATAACGGCAACACGACTTGAATAGAATCGGCCAAAAATACTCCCATTGCCTATATCAAAGTGAAATTTTATTTCTTTGCTTTATATAATTATAATTAGTAATGAAAAAATATTATTATAATTAATTAAAATCTTCAAACTCCTCTCTCACTATCTACGCCGGGTCTCGCCCATTGAAATATGTTTTGTAAAAAATATTAAATATTTTGCTTTGCTTTTTTATTTAAATTGATAAATGAAAAATAAAAAGTTCTAATGTTATTCAATTAACTCAAGAACTGATTTTAATAGAATCGACTTTTTTTGTAAAGTAATTTTCTTTATCAGAGGATCTGAGCAGTTGATTTTCGTTTAAATTGTTTATAGTCATTTTACGCAAACTTATTTGAAATTTTTTCAAGAACTTTGAATTTTGTTTTGTTGCTTTTCAATTTTTTTAATTATAGATTCAAGTATTTTTAATAGATTTTTAACCATCAGATTCACTTCTGTGTTTTAGCTCGTTATACTCGTATACTTTTTTAGCTTAATCAGTAAATGAACCTTTTTTTATACACCGCATATCAGAAATATATAGGTGCATATACATAAAAGTTCACATTGATAGGATTTACCTGTATATGGTATATATATGTACATACAAATGTACGAAAAAAACCAAACGTTTGATGAAATTAACATATCGAAGAAAACACAAAAACAAAATATACACGTATGTTTGAACGTACACGTGCATACATACACACGCACATATAGGCAAGACAACATAAAACACAATAATAACACAGAGAGGGACAAAAGGTGGCAGCTGAATTAAATAATATAAACATAAAAATATTAATTAACATTAAAAAAACATGTTTCATTTGAGGGCAAAGCAGGGATCACAACTTTTTGTCTAACTCAAATCAATACATAAAGAACCAGCACTTCGCAGGTCATTGGTGAAACAATTATTTTAAAACAAAAGGTTATTACATAAAAAACACTTAGCTATATGGTCTATAGCTTTATTTTCAATATTCATCATACTTTAAACCAATTAAAAGCGATCTAGTATTAAAATTGTATTGTCAAAAGAGGCCCAAATTTAAGGCTCTGTTCACTGGTTGATTCTGGTGCGAAAAAATCCACAAATTGTTTATGAAAAACTATTCCATTCACCTAAATTGACAGCTTGGTGTGGTTTTTGGTCTGGTGGAACCATCGGTCCGTACTTCTTGCTAAATAAAGCTGATGACACCTTACATTACTGTCAATGGAGAGCGGTTCATATCAATGATAACCAACTTTTTCTGTCAGAGTTTTTTTTTCAACATGGAAAAAACTAAATATCGCGCGGTGATTAGATTCTTTGTTTTGAAAAGTTTCAAAGCAAAAGAAATTTATGAACGATTTTTAGAAGTGCATAAGGAGTCCTCTTCAAAACGCACCGTTTAATTTTGGGCGGGTGTTTAGCTCCGAAGCAGGTTATGACGATCAGCAAAGAAGGTTATGACGTTAGTTTTTTGGGATGCAAAAGGAATTTTGTTGAATGATTATCTGCAGAAAAGTAAAACAATCAACGCTGAATATCACTGCAGCCTTTTGGATAAGCTGGATGAAAAAATTCTTGAGAAAAGACCTGGTACGCAGCACAAAAAATCATTTTTCATCAAGACAATGCACCTGCTCACAAAGATGTTTTAGCAATGAAAAAATTCAACGAATTGCTTTACCATACACCGTATTTACCAGATTTGGCTCCACGCAACTATTACTTCTTCAGAAACCTGAAACAATTCGTTCGTCGAAAGCGTTTTTTGTTGAATGAAGATGCTATTACAGTTGTAGACGGGTATTTTGCAGAGCTTAAAATTATATAATTAAATAAAAATTATTGGAGGATCATTGAAATAAGTAAAGTTAAGGATTTCGATATTTCGTACCAAAAACAGTATTTTTTCATTTCTAGCGCAGAAATTTTTCAACCAACCTACAAGTATATAACACAATTTTCAACATGCTTCATCTGTACCACTTTTTGACCAAAAATTTACCAAATAGGACCAAAACTATTCAAGCCTTCAGGCACCGAATTATTGACCACATTTCTTGTTGCGAACTTTTTATCTAAAATATTGGTCAATCTGTTTTATAGACGAGTATTATTGAATTTCGGAAAAAATCCGTTATTTATCCTGTAATGTCAAATGGATTGAATAGAAAGATTTTCGAACTTCCGGCTGACTTTTTACCGAATATACCGGCAAATATGTGAGATATAGTAATAAAATTGGAAGAGCATGTTTTTCTTATAAAACAGTAATTTTAAAAGTTTGTGCAATCAGCCCAGATCTTTTCTGCCTCCAGTATACCCTTAACAAGGATTTCCGACTTTCCACCTGACTTTAAAGAATTTAGGTTGGTCAAATGTGTTATGTTTTAGTGAAATTAAGTGGAAAAGCTTTTTTGTGGTTTAGCGCTTAATATAACCGGAATTGGTGAGACCTTGGTACAAACCTCAAATCTCTAATGTAATGCATTTCGATTCACTGGATCACGTTTTTTACATCACCTCTATGTATTAAATGTAGCCTCTTCGATTGAATTTATGTCAGCTGTGTCTTATTATGTGACGGGAAGTAATATATAGGTATAAAACTAATTTAGTCTATGACCCATAATATAAATAAAATAAAATACAAGTTTTAAATAAAGTTGTGCCAACATATTTGCCTGGCGTTGATAAATGAAATGTTCGGTTACACCTGGAGCTAGCTCTTCTTTACTTGTTTAATATTAAAATTGTATGCCCATTTCAATTTTTGAACATTTTTTCATAATGCGACATCACCTCCATTATTTTTTCATTTGCCAGTTTTGGAAAATTTCAAGAAATGTACATATATAACATACATACATATGTATTTACATGCAAATAAGAAGCAAAATAAATAATTAAGTTTGCAGGCAGAATAGCATTAATTCGCAAAAGTAGACTAGAGGTTTTACCTCCAGCTTTACAAGAGCTCAGTGATGAGGTCAGTCTATTATTCTTGTGAAGTGTTAATGGATGATTCGGCGTTCCATAAAATATATAAAAACAGCGTAATCCCATTTCTGGAATCGCTTGACATTGTCAAGACGTCTAATGATATATCATCTTGCTGCCTAATTATCATTCCAAACCCCATAGCTGTATAGCCTAATATTTCGAATAATTTAAGCGGTTATGAATTTCGACCCTATTCAATATGAAAAGAATTTCAACAAGTCAACCAACCATGTGTATCTTCGCTCTAAAGTACAAAAAATTATAGGAATTTTAAATTTTATTTCTACTAGAGTACGCTTGGTTTGAGATTCCCCTTGTTTTGTTTCAAAAATTGACTGGATTTATACCAAACTATTATCACACAAAAATTTTCATTTTCGGCCACCTCCATATGTGTATATGAACGTAAATATTGAAACTCTTCTCCACATATGCACACATGACTTATATAGACCGCGATATGAATATTCATTTATTTGACATTTCAACTTGTCAAATGTCATTTGAATTGCAGAACGGAATGCAAATTTGTCAGCAATTTGCAGTCAGAAATGCCAGAACGCCAGTAGCTAACTACGGCACACACTGTTAGTATAGCTGTGACGGTAAGCGGAAAAATGTGTCTGCTTCCTGTTTAATGCCATCAGTGGAGCGCTGCATGTTGCATGCAGTGACGTGAATCACTTTGGACTTTTAACATGATTGATGCGCCTGAATAGTGGTAACATACATAGAAGCACATACATACTTGTATATAAATGAATATCCAAAAGCAACTCACGTGCGATACCTCTTCACCAACAGCATGCCACCTATCCAGTATATCCAACTAATCAATGACTATCTTCCGACTAAAACCGAGGGAAATAAACCAGATATGTCAAATTTGTGTATTTGTTAGGTATTTGGAAAAAATTTTCCGTTTTTTGTGTTTACTACTGAAAAATTGTTGGTGGATATTTGAAGCCACCGCTGATCTATTTCTTTGTTAAGGGGCAGCGCAAAAATATTCCGAGTTTTTGCAATTTGTCGAATATTTTTGCACAGTAGACCGAAGTTGGTGGCCTTTCCATTTTACTGCTTTTATAGTCGCCACTCACATCCTTACAACCGCGTTAAGTTCGGTTCATATTTATTAAAGGATTAATTATATATATATATTAATTATATACGTGTCAGTGCAATTCAATTTAACGGTACAGACAATACTGCAAGCTTACTTATGATGCGTCCTAAGAATTCGATAACGCCCACTTTCTGATGGGTTATCATACCTCAGCAACTGCTCCACCCATTTCAAGCAAATTTGATACATATTTATGATATTGTTTCAAAATGGGCGAAACCAGTCTAAATTTCCCGCGCACTTCACGTATGATACCATGTGAAACTCCTGCAGATATTTTCATTTTATAATAGATTAATCTAGCGTTAGAGATTATATCAGATTATAACCTAGTACAATTCATGTTTTTTAATTTCCCTTATTCAAAAATGGTTCAAATCGAGTAACGCATGATAATGCGCTCGGCAAAAGTGTTATTCAATAAATTGATTGCTTCGTTGACTGTATAGTCAACTATGTATATGTAGCGGCGTCTTGTTGGAACCAAAGGTCGTCCATAGCAAAATCCTTAATTCCATTCAGGAATGGCCACCTTTATTTTTGAAGAAATATGAACCAATGGCAAAAGTGAACTTTATCGCTGAACAAAATTTTCTTGTGAAAATCTGTTAAATATGGTAGTTGGTAATACATTTCCATGATTTGCAAACGTTGTTCCAGTAAGTCTGTTCATTATGATATGGTAAAGCAAACTGAGTATAAATCAAGCAAAAGCTGTCAAAAAGACCAACTCCGAAAAAAGTATTGCCTCAAACATAAAACTATACGTCTAAAAAAAACACACATTATTATCTTGCATTTGTTGCCGAAAATGAGTGAAGTGGGTCCATAGACTATCTTAGCCTCATAAACACATACTAGTTATTGCATCAAATATAATATATCGTGCATCGTAATGTAATTAAAACGAGACTTGAAAATTATTAAAGTATCAAATTTTCAATTACACTGAGTTAGTCCCTTTTTACTTGTTTATAATATGGTTTTTTAATTCGTCTCGAACTAATATACTACACGTTGCCATGATTTTTTGAAATCTGCATAGTTCGGCTTTGACCGAACTTAACACCTCCTTTCTTACATTGAGTTATGTTGCCTTTTGCTATTTTTTATATTTTTCGCATTCATCACTCCATCTTCCGCATTTCTTTTTATCCCCGCACAGGTTTCGCCTGGTCACATGACGCCTTGGCTTACCATCAATATGTTTGTGTTGAGCTTTGAACTGATGGCTTGGCTGGTGGAGGTATTGGTTGGCGCCACTAAATTGGATCTGCACACACTCTTCACCTTTTGCCTTCCGGTGGCGAATTACTTGTTTGTGCGTTGTGTGCGCAATGTATTCCAGAATGCCATCGAAACGAACGATGTCGACGACTTGCGCCTGTGGAAGCGTGGCTTCAAGTGATTTCGTGGTGTTCTATTTATATCCCTACATACAAGTATATTTATACATATAGTCGGGGAAGCAGTGTTACCCCTGTTGATGGCATCCAGCGTATATTTGGTCGTTTTTCGTAACTGCATATTTTATTTAATTATTTGTATGTGTAACTGAGGAGGGTCTGTATGAAAATATTGTGAGCGCTTTTTGCATATTTTTGGTAATAAGTGTAAAAATTTTAATGAAATAAGTGAAGTGTTCAAGAGCGTTGCTCAAGTGGCAGCACTCCAAAGGTGGAGAGTATAAGTTCGTGGTTAATTTTCCGACTTGGATATTTTTCTGCCTTAAATACATGTGATCTTATACCAACTATTTCCTTCTAAATAACATTTTTAAAGAATTTACTTGAATTTGGAAATGGTTGAAAATTAACTGTTCTTAATATACATTGTGTTATCGGGTGTCATCTAGCCTATATATTGACAAGTATGATATCTTTTGCTATGAACACACTCAGAACGTTTTGATTTGCGTCCTATATTAGTGCTGAGTACAGTCCTTTTCCATAGGTATCTTGGTGGTAAAAGTATTTTCCTGTGCTTACTTACAAGTAAAAAAGAGTTCAGTTCAGGTGTAACCGAACATTTTATACTCTCGCAACTTGAAAAGATCCATAATTAACTCTAATGAGATATAAACTCAATCAACAAGCTAAATTTAATACATTGGATATACGAAGTAAATATCAACCAAGGGATGGAAAGACCCAATTTCATTCTTGACCAATGAAAATCTTTATATGTATGTAGTATATGGAAGCTTTGATTCATGGATCGATATAAATATAAAAATATTAGGTATATGGTGACTAGAGGAAGTATTGCCCTGACGTCATCCATTTTAGGCATGAGGATACTCTGTAAAACCATAAAATAGTCTTCTCAATCTTATGAAGTAATTTGTTCTTTTTATAGAAGTAAGGGAGCCAATCATAAAGAAATCCTGAAGAAAGAGAGTTATACCGGATACTGACGGCTTACAATTCGGAAACATATTCGAAGATACTTGCCTATAGACGTGCTATCCTAACAATCTTTTTATATAATTTTCGAGCTTTACTCAGTTGAAATAACAACGCAACTCCACGGATCGTTATCTAATAGAGCGATTCATTTAGTCCGCTTCAAAGTTTTTTGAAAGAATTTTGAGTATATCTTTATCGAGAATGCAAGTTGAGTGACTTCGAGCGTTGAGAGTACGTCGTGAGATCGTAAAAAAATTTCTTCAAAAGTCGTACATCAATATCTTTTAAGGACAATAGCAATACCTTACTTTACACTTTACTGATTTTCGGATTTGGAAGAACCTAGGAGACAGAATCTTTCTGAAACATTAAAATATTTTGCAAGTTGAACGTCCAATAGAGTTCGGAAATAATTTACTTTTATGTATAAAACTTCTGACACCAACGTTTTACAAATCGACTCTTTCGCTATTACAATACAGCTGGAAAGTACGTTAATTTTATGCAGATGAATTTTATGGGACACAAAGACATCGTGTTGATCAGACTTTTATACACTTGCAACATGTTGCTACAGAGTATAACATTTTTGTTCACTTAACGGTTGTTTGTATCATGTAAAACTAATCGATATAGACGGGTTTTATGAATATAAATGATTAAGATGACGAGACGAGTTGAAATCCGGGTGGCTCTCTGTACGTCCATCTGTGCGAGCTGTAACTTGATAAAAAATTCAGATATCCTAACGAAACTTGGTACATGTATTCCTTGATAAAAAAAGGGAGTTTGTAGATGGGCGTAATCAGAATCCTGTAATTAAGATATAAACCTGTAATTTGGTACAAGGGATCACAGTAGCAAGAGGCATATAGGTATAACAATTTTGAAAAACTGGGCGTCCTCTCTCCGTATAACGGTTTTATTAGCCAGAGCAGTATATTTTACACCTAAGATGATACCTACGTTACAGTGCGAAAATGGGCTGAATCGGACAAAGACCACGCTTACTTCCCATATATCACAATTTTAAATTCCACCTGATGCTTTGATTTTCGAGTATACAAATCAAGAACCAATCAATGTATCCGGATAAAACTTTGCACAAATATGAAGAGCCCTTGAGGGCCCTGAAAACCAATTTCTTCAATTAAAAACTTTTTCTAATTGATGGTAGTCTTGAGTTGGCTTAAAGCGTGTTAAAGTAGGTAGTCCGTCTAATTTTTAATAAAAAGTAAGATTCGTATAACGAGTGATATGATTTATGTACACGTGCTACCCGAGATATACCATATTACTATTACAATTAGGGATGATTCTACGATAAGCTAGTGTTAAAATTATTGTTCGTTTGTTTCTGTGACTATGGATTATGACAGTGTCACCATAAGCTAACTTTTTAAAATATTTTATACTGATTCTAACCTAATGACCTGTCTATTATGCCCTTCCGTTATTATTTTAATTGCCGTTGTAAACATTTTAAACTAAAAAGCGACATTTAACAACAAATGTTACTGTAAGGAAAATCTACTCTGCTTCAGTTTCTAACCAAATTAAAAGTTGCAGCCACCTTGTATTGTCGAAAGGTTGTAAAAAGTTTAACGTGTTTATTTGCTCACTATCAGGCAACATATGTATGTACTAATGTTCATATGTACAGTCCAGTAACAGCATCCAACTTTTAACCTTGCAGGAGCTTCCTCCCTTTTGGAGTGGTTGGTCAGTTTGTTAAAACATTTGTAGTCATTTCGAAATAATACTAGACAGCATTTCATCCACCCTCTGTTGCACCATAAAGTGTGGTAGTGGTAGGTATCGAGGCATGGAAGCCACAAGCCTTAATAACGCTTAATGCAGGAAACATTGCTTGGTATTGTGGCAGAAAGGATTTAAAAATAGGAAACAAATGTTTTAAATTTGTGGTTGTAGTTTTTACTGTTGGTAACGAGTGTTACACACTTTTTTATTTCACACACTCAATGACCCATTGAGGGTTTTACGAAATTCGCTACTTTTGGCAACCGGAAATAGAGGAAACTCATAAATATCAGATTTATTATACATGAGAAGTGGAAATGATCCTATTCCTTTAATGAGAGAGGGGCATGGGCGCTGACACTTAGGAGGAAAGCTGGAATTCTTAATCAGCTGAAAACTTTCTAACAAAAAATGTTCTCCTTAAATCTTTTGGCGGTCTAGCCAAACTAACCCTTCTTTTGTTCTATTACGGCATCCCTGGTGTTTCTTGAAAGAACTTGATTTTGATTTGTCAGTTTGAATGGAGCTATATGCTATAGTCATCCGATATCGCCGTTTCCGACAGATGAAAAGTAGTTTCTTGGAGAGAAAAGCGCTATTGCAACATTTCAGATCGATATCTCAAAACTGAGGGAACTACTTGTAGTTCTTGTATATGTCTAAATCGACTCAGCTCGACTTTCTGATTATTCATATATGTATATATTTTATAGGGTTTCTGACGTTTCCTTCTGGGTGTTACAAACTTCTATACTCTTAATTCCAAACTTAATATACTCTGCAAAGGATATAAACATTTGTTGGTCGAACTAAAGTCCAGCCTATTTGCCCCATAGATCTCTTACCACTACTCAATGGATGATGACGTGCGTTCTCATACAAATTTGCGTAGTAAAGTCTCAGGAATACTCGTAAGACTCAATTTATTTCTGAGGGGTTATGACTTCTATTTAAATGTTATCTCTCGAGGTTCAACTTCTATATCTATAAGATAAAACATTTTATATATGATTGGATGTTGTTTCTGCTAGGATAGGTGTAGGAAGGTTAAGGGAAGTATTGACTCGATTTTACCCATTTTTGACACATGGGTATGCTGTTATATTCTTCTCAAATTTCAAAATTAAATTTCATAGACTAACCGATATGTTCAGTAAAAAATCAGGCCTAATGCACTGGGGCCCACATATTTGGTGTGTAGGTCCGTTAAAAGTTACTGTCTGCTTTAGAAAATTTTTGGATGTTAGATGAAATACTTTGAGAGCACTATTTGTGCAAAGTTTTGTTCAAATAACTAAATTGATGTTTGATTTGTATACGGTACTATAAATTGAAAAAGTCAGATGGACTTTAAAAATTTGTTATATGGGAAGTAGGCGTGGGGGGTGCCGCGCTTTTTGTTAAATTTTTATACGTGCTCCTATAAAGCTCTTCTATACCATCTAGTTTTAATGCTTGTGTCTTATTATACCCTGAACAGGATATATTCAGTTTGCCACTAAGTTTGTAACACCAAGAAGGAAACGTCGGAGACCCTATTAAATTTATACATAAATGGTCAGCATGATGAGCTCAATTGGTTTAGCCATGTACGTCGGTCTGTCCGTTCCTCCGTTTATCCATCTGTATATATATGAAAACTAGTCCCTCAGTTTTTAAGATATCGATCTGAAATTTTGCACTTGTCCTTCTCTCACCACTATAGCATATAGCTGCCATACAAACTGAACAATCGAAAGAAAGTGCTTGATGGAAAACTCTTTCATTTGACGAGGCATCTTCACGAAATTAGATGTGAATTAAGTTATTGTAAGGAACGTTTGTATCTGTGAAGATGATCTGTGATCTTATTTAGTAAATTATTGCACCTTAAGTAGTTTTCAACATAACCTTTATATGGAGAGTGAGCGTGGTTATTTTCTGATTTCGCCTATTTTCAGAGAGTATTAAAGATACTTCTTGTCAGCAAGTTTGGTAGATTTAGCTTAAACGATTTGGAATATATGTTCATTAAACCATTTACGGGGCGAGACCATCCCCAATTTTAAATAACTCTTGGCTTACCCGCGTCCCGCTCTATAGCGATCCCTTGTACCAAATTACAGTTTTATATCTTTATTTAGTGCTTACTTATGGAAATTTATATGTTTTCGCTTATGGGCGTGATATAATGACTTTCCGGAAGCTCTGCAAAATACCCGTCTACAGCTGTAATAGCTTCTTCATTCGACGAAAAACGTTTCCCACGAAGAATTGTTTCAGGTTCCTCAAGAGGTAGTAGTTTTTTTGTGCTGCAAACTGTCTTTTTTTGCTGCAAGGTCTTTTTTCACGAATATTTTCATCCAGCTGATTCAAAAGGCTGCAATAATATTCAGCGTTGATTGTTTTACTTTTCTGCAGATAATCATTCAACAAAATTCCTTTTGCATCCCAAAAAACTAACGCCACAACATTCTTTGCTGATCGTTGTGACTTCACCTGCTTTGGAGCTGAACAACCAGCTTCAGGCCACTGTAAGCTCTCTGGTTTGAATTAGGAATCATGGTGGTAGATCCAAGTCTTATCCATAGTTATAAAACGACACAAGATATTGGTTTTATGCTGCTTAAAACGCTCCAAATTATGCGGATAAATTTGTTTTCGATCCAGTTTTTGTTTAATCGTTCAATGAAGTACTCGTTCGTCTGAGATGCCTTTGACACAAGCAATTTCACGCTAAAGGCAAACTTGTATCTTCACTAACAATGTTATATACTTTCTGGTGTGGTTGCGGGTTTTGGTCGTCCTTCGCTTGGGTCGTCTTAAGACTAGTACGACCACAAACTCACCAGCCCAAAATTCAACGACGCGTTTTGAAGGTGAGGACCCCTTATACTCTTTTAGCAATTGTTCATAAATATCCTTTGGTTTTAAACCTTTCAAAACAAAGAATCTTATCACTGCGCGATATTAGATTCTTTCCATAAAAAAAAATACTCCGACACGTCAACTTCAAATTACTTGCAAACAAAAAGTTTATTGACAAAATGACTTGTATCTTGGCAGGTTTTTTACGGCAGATGTACCAATTTGAGAAAACAAATTTGGAGCTAGTAGTGCTATTTCTTGATGAGCACTACCCACTTTTCAACCAAAATGTATGTACCCTCTGCTGAAACATTTTGCGAGAGTATAATAAATTTCGGTCGAAATTAAAATCATATGGTATTTACTTTTCCCTAAAAGAGGAAGAACATATTTTTGTTTTATAAGATCTATTACCTTTCGAAGTTAACGAAATGAAAATACAAAATGGAAGATGGTGAATAAAAGTTACTACTTCATTGACATGTTTGACTTTAAAATGTAGAATTATTATATTATTCATGCGTTCGTACTTACATTAATGACTGCGCGAAGTATGAAGAAGGCCACTTCCGCTTTGCACATTGCATCAAATTGCTAAAAAGAAGATTGGAAACAGCATAATCACTCTTAATAAATATTTTGTACCTAAAAATAAAATCAAGGTTTAGTTTCAAGGTTCACTTCAATGTTCAACTCAATCATGTATGCATGTTAAATCAAACAATTCATTGGTCTACAGTAATACGGCAACAAAAATGCTGAATACGGTGGCACTGATGGGCCTTCTTCAACGAGTTTCCAGTGATATTTACAGATAAAATTGTAGTTAGTTATTTAATAGAGAAGAGAAATACTTAGTAGTAAAATGACCGCCAACAAAAAACGATATCCATATTGATACTATTAATCAGATCAAATTACTCCTAAAAGCATACTCCTAAAGAAACCTAAGGCTATCAACACTAAACTCTGCAACAGTTGACATCCAAGTATAAAACTGACGAGTAAATTTAAAAATTGAACATTTATTTAAGAAAAACGTGCACAAAAGTATTACTCAAGGTATTGCCTATCTGAAGCTATAATATCTTCCCATCTTTCTAGCAATTTGAGGATTCCATCCGATAAGAATGAATCACGCCGGTTTTTATACCATGTTCTGATGTGAACATTAATCCATGAGGGAAATTCCGCATAGACCGGGAGTAATGGTATACAGAAGGAACAAGGTCTGGGCTATAAGACAGATGAGGCGAAATTCCACAACCGCTGTTTTCAAAATAGTTTTTAACCGCTCTTGCAACATGAGTCCGAGCTAGGTCAGGATGGAAAATTATTGCCTCATGTCTGGTCACGACGTTCGATGAGGTTCGCCTCCACCTCCTGGGTAACGTTAAATGACCTGCAGGATTCACAGCCGACTCCTACGGATTTTTGATCCTTTGACGGACATAGCTTGGACGATTAGATGGATCAGTTTGAACCCTGGGCTTGTGGTCGTGGTATTCTGTCACTTGAGTATGCAGGGGGGACACCGTGCAGAAATTACTGATGAGGATAGCGGCTGTGAGAAGTGACCCTAAAAGCATGAATAGTAACAAACATGCAAGTACAAAAAAGCATGTTGGAACCGTCCGCGGTTAAACTGGTCGGTCTCTCGAGATGAGTTTTTATCGGTGGCGTTCCTCATTACGGGTTTCCCCCGATTTTAGAGGTTCATAATACAGCACGCTCTTCTGATTCTACGTAATAAAGCATTATCTTGGCATCATGAATATTCGCCTTTTGCCGTAGATAGCCAGGTTTCAATATGATTTTTTGTATTTAGAGTTTTCGTATCCATTATTCTTCTCCAGTCACCATCCGGTTGAAAAACGACTTCTTTTTACAGTGTTCAAGCAGCATTTCTGACATGCAATATCGTCTTTCAACGTCTCTTGACTTCAATCCATATGGCACCTAATTTCCTTTCTTTTCAATGTCTTCGGCTGCTTTAGAATGTTTTGAAATGGCTGCTTGAGTGACCTCGAAAGATTCTGCGAGCTCTTCTTTTGCTTGGCAATAATCTTTATTAAGTAATGCTTCTTGTTTCTCATTTTTAAACTACTTTTTTTGGCCATCTAGCCTTTCTTCATCTTCCAGACCAAAATCAACATTAAAATACTCTTGGCACGTGCGTTCAGTTAGAGCATATTCACCATAAACTTCTACTAAAATACGATGATTTTCGGCTGAGATTTTCAAAACTTAAAACTTCAATTAAAGTTTGATATATTTGAGTGAAAAAGAAATATTATTTTTGTTTACACTTTAAATGAATGACCTACGTGTATGCTGAAAAAGTAGCACAAGGCCTATAGCTTTCAAACACAAGTTCAAAATATTGAAACTATGGAATCATATTACGCCATCTTGTCAAGCCGCACGAACATTGCTATAGATTCTATGTTATACAAGTATGTTATACAAGTATGATCAATTCGCAGAAAAACCCTTTTTGTCCATTCTTCTCATCAATTGTTATAGATAAGCCAAAGTCTCTAACAAATTTTAAAAAGGCAAATTCGCACGACCTCGTTATCATGTTTGCTTCAAAACATATCGAAGCTTATACACATTATTCTTGCTTGACTGAACGAAAGAAACCCTACCCTACTGACCTAACGAACAGACAGTCGTAGTGAAAGTATGTCGGTAAAAACAAACAAGCCATGTCCCACAATAAGTAAGTTGAAAATATTGTACTTCATATTTATCCAAAAATGTCGTTGAAAAAAAGTGGGATATTGTAGGTTGGCTTGTTAATGTCACTGACTAAACCTAGCTATTTTTTAATTCTATGAACCTTTTCTGATTAGGTCAATATTTTTTTTTCAAAACTAGCCGAAATAGCCTCTCTTCGTTTGCTTTAGAATTCTGCCCTTCCTTAACCCTTTTACCATATCATTTCATTTGTTCCATTAGCTTAAGCAAAGCACTTAGTAGCAGTTCCGTTCACTTCGTGTAAACACTTACTGACTCACAAACAACGATTTACTTGAACTTTTCACTTTCTTTGCATTAACACCAAAAATAACTACAACAAAGCAGGTATCAGTATAAAAACAAATTGAACTCGAACAAAAATGTGGAAATTCTGAGTTATGCAGTAAGTTCGCAAGCGACAACAACAACATACAAACAGTCAATGCCGTGCACTCAATGCAAATTGTTGCAATGCCAGTGGAATACAGTTATTCGGTTGCAGCACCAGTATAAGAGACCGGAACAGAGAAACTTTGCACCAACTTTATGTATTTTAAAATGTTTTAAATTTTCAAGTGACTGAGTGGGTGGAAGGTAAAGTGGAATTCGAAAAACTGTATGTGCCACTACTTGCGGCTGTGACTGTGGGTGTGATTGAAGTCGAAAATTGTTTCTAAGAAACGGAAGAGTGTGACCCAAGGGGTTGCGCACTGTAGTTCCAGGGTTGACTCACAGAGTTGATAGGGACTAAGGTTGACGCACATCAACTGCAATCACAACATTATACAACAAATACGGCAGATAAAATAGAAAAATCCTGCAAAATGCATTTGAATTTCGCACATGAAAAACTTTAAAAATGGTTGACGGTAAATAACAGGTATACATACATACCATACATACTCAAAAGAAATTATGCGCGAACTTTACAGAAATATTGTGGAAGTGACAAAAACGGAAAATGCATGTCAAAAATACTGACAAATCCTGGAAAATTTTATAAAATAGTATGTGAAAATGTATTTTATTTATTGTTACCTGCGGAAGTTTTGTTATGACGCTGCCAGAACACTGTTGTATACGTACATATGTTCAAAGACAACTTGGTTCAGCGACATACTTATACGAAATATGTGTGGAAAGCTGAGATGGACGACATGCACCTCAATGTCACAGAGGTCACTGCCTGCGGTCTTTAATATTGTTGGCAAAATTGTGTTTCGCCAATTTAAAAAATGCAAAAAATATATGTATGAATACCAGAAACTAGGTGAAAAAGCCAGAGTGACAAGTTTGTTTGGATATGAAAAGGATTCGATCAAAGTAATAGCAGATTACATTTAAGAGTCGAATATCTTAAAAGAAACATGCTCTTTTACATAGTCGATCCAAAGCGTAGTGAAATGTTTGAATTCCGCTGCCACTTATATACGATTATTTTAAGGTACTGAATTTCTTAGATACATATATAGCTGTCAAACCAGCTGTCAATGTAAACATTTTATTTTACAGTTATTTTCAGTGTACTTACACTGGAACTACTTTAATGGAAAACTCGAGTTCTTTTATTCACTTGTTACCGTCAAGTCATCTTCAGCGATGAGATATTGTATTTGCACCAGAACGGGTATGTCAATAAAGTCAGACTCTCTTGCATACGCAAAATGATATTGATTTTGATTGGAAATTAAGCGATTCGAGAACTATAGCGACAAGTTCTAAAACACACATTTCTGATACCAAATTAATATAATACAATATAGGAGCCTTTTAGAGGTTTTTTAATTGTAAAAGCTCGTAAGTATTGACGAAAATCACATTCCGTCAACTGGTATATTAATTTTGCCACGAAAAAGGAAACGTCAGAGACCCTATAAAGTGTATATATAAATTATCAGTTTGACGAGCTGAGTAGATTTAACCAAGTCCGTCTGTCCCTCCGCCTGTCTGTATATATGCGAACTATTTAGTTCCTCAGTTTTTGTATTTTTCTCACCGTATTTTTCTCACCAAGAAACTATTTATTTGTCGGAACAGCCGATATTAAACCACTATAGAATATAGCTGCCATACAAACTGAACGATCGGAAGCAAGTGCTTGTATAGAAAGCTTTTTCATTTGACAAGATATCTTCAAGAAATTGTACACGGATTATGGCCTAAGGCTATGGTACAATCTCCGAAGAAACTGTTCTGATCAGATCACTGAAGCACATAGCTGCCATACGAACTGACTGATCAAAGTTCTTGTAAGGAATCTTTTGCATTTTTGAAGGGTATTATTAATGCAGGTTGTGAAAAATCAAAGCAAAGGAGTAACTTTAAATTAAAGTGTTAACACAGGGTGTATCGAGTTATAAATGTAATAATGTGGAAGTTTATGTGCCTTGGTAATTGCAATGTTGAAAGTATTGATACCACAAAAGAATTAAAATACTTTAATTTTTATTATTTAATTTTTCTTTTGCGATAATTTTTCAAATTTTTTGCTGATGCTGCATGTTGCATTCGTAGTTTTTTGCTACAAAAATTGTTAACTATTCGGCAAAAGAAGACAATTATACGCACATTAAAATGAACAACAACTTGTAAAAAGATTTTAAGGCATGTAAATTTATTATTTATAGTGTCGTGCAAAGTGCTTTGTTTGTATGAGAAAAAATTTAAATTTAAAAAATTTGAAATATTCGTTGTCAGCAAGAATTTTAGTTTGCTATTTTAAATTACGGTAATTTAAAAATACTTCAAAGGAAACAATTCGAATATTTTGCACATATTACTAAACAATTTTATTTCGCTTTTTTGTTGAATGTAAATTACACATGCAGTTTACACATGCAATTGGTTTTACAAGAAACAATTTTTTTCCTGCGTTCATTCAGCAAAACTTTGTTGTAACGAAAAAGTACCTACGAGGTGTGTTCAAAAAATAACGATAATTTTCGTTCTTTGAAACAAACATTTATTCATTCATGTTGTCTCATTCAAAATAGTATTCATTCGTTATTATGCACCCATAAATCGCCAAGCACATAAAAACATGTCTAACCTAAGCTGCTGCTACAGAAAAAGTAAGGAAGTGCTAAGTTCGGGTGCAACCGAATATTTCATATTCTTACAACTTGCAAGGATCGAAGCCGGGGAAATATCTTCAGGTGTTGGCAAAGCTTTATATTAAGAAATCTAATGAAGAGGTTCAACTATGGGGGATAAGGCAAGTTTTCGCCCGATTTGATAAATTTTAGGCACACAGATACACTGTTATTAGAAAAACAAGACTTCTCACTTTCATTAAAATAACTAGCACATTGGCCGATATATTTGGTTTCTTGTCCAAATTTTTTTTTCGCTCCACCCTAATATGGATCATTTACGGATATATAACCCTATAGCTAACTCAATTATTTTTAGGTGATACAAACAACCGTTGAACTTTCCAAACCCGCGAAATTTTTATTTTAAATTGGCGTAATTTTTTGGACGCACGTCTTATATATATTTCTCTACTGCTTCTTGGCATTTGCACTTTGCTTTGAATTTGTAATTCGCTTTAATCAGACTATAAAAAAAACGAAAGAAAATATAATCTAAAACATGCAAATGTAACGGCGAATGGCGATTCAAATGCAATGCACGATAGAATCAAGGCCAAAAACATCGAGTACAACAAGAATTCTGCAATAATCAGCAAAACAAAGTGCAAGAAACCATTCACTTCCCTTCTACCCTTCACCCCTGCTACTTCAAAACCCACAGCACCACTTCACCGTTATCAGTTGAATAAGGAAATTTATGCAGTTTTTTTTTTGCACTCATAAAAATCGCTCCTGCTCGCTGGTTGAGAAGCCAGAAAGCCAGAGTACCCCCGCGAATTATTATTATGCAAATTTTTATTTTACAATCTTCACTGCTTGTTAGCATCAAATTGTTGCATGAATTTGGTGTAGCTTGTTTGCACCGTGGGTTTCGGTCCTCCTCGTGCACATCCGCCGTTGGTCAATAAAAACGAATAAATGAATAAACCAATGAATGAACTCTATAAAAATTATGAATTGTGTTGCATACGTTAAGGCGTGTCAATTGTTGCAGCACCAGTGACTTACTGACCTTATTTACATGATCTCGTAAAACGTTGGAGTAGACCATGGCCACCGCTTCCAGCGCCATAAACGTGATGTAGCCAATTATCCATGGCACAATGAGACCGGGATTCTCCTGCAAGGAAACGGAAACGTGGCAATTTATTATAAAGTGAGCACAATAGTTGCTTACAAATATACATATCTTTATTATACTTTTGCAATATGTTGTTACAGAATGTAATAGTTTTTTCACGTCACAGTTGTTTGTGTCACCTAAAACTAATCGAGATAGATATAGGATTATATATATATATAAATGATCAGGATGAAGAGACGAGTTGAAATCCGAGTGACTGTCTGTCTGTCCGTCCGTCCCTCCGCACATCCATCCGTTAGGTAAAAATTGTTATATCATAATAAAACTTGCAAAAAAAAGAAGGACGAGTTCTTAGAAGGGCGTAATCGGACCACTGCCGCGTCGACACAACGCCATATTATTAAAAATAATATTTAATATTAAATATACATTTTATTTTTAAAAATATTAAGTTGTCATATTAATTAAAAAATAAATTATTTTTATTTGAAATTTTTATATTTTTATCCCATATTTTTTAATCGAAAAATTCGCAAACCTGGTCAGGACCTACTTGACCGATATCGACCAAATGTGATTCATCATATTAGTTTGACATTGTTTATGCTGCAGTGCGAAAATGTTCGAAATCGAACTACAACCACGCCTATCTACCATTTAACACAATTTTAAATCTGATTATTTTACTTTCCAGTATGCAATTCAGGCACCAATGAATGTATCAGGATAAAGCTTTGCCCGAATAGTGCGCTTAAGGTAAGCCACCTTATGAACGAAATTGTCGAAATCGAACTACAACTGCTCAAGCCCTCAGGTACCGAATATGTGAACTCCAGCTCCCACAGCACACATTTTATCGAAAATATCGGTCAAGCTGTGAGATATGTTATTGAAATTCGGAGCAAATCGTTTCCAGATAACTGTATGCCGGTGTGTCAAAAATGGGCCAGCCATCAAGGAACGATCGGAAAAGTGAACTTCACGCGGCGAACTAGCTTCAAAGAAGACTAAGATTGTCCTTTTGACCGGAAAGAGATGGTGCACCATTTTTCGGGATTCACAAGGTGTTGTCTTCATCGACTAAAATCAAACCGATCATATGGTTCTATGTCAAGTTATTGGACTGATACGAACTCCGAATTGCAAAAAATTGTCGCATTTGTCGAAGAAAGAATGAATATTTCCAAAATATTTATTGTCATGAAAATTGTAACACATAAATGATCAGCATGGCGTGCTGCATCAATTTAGTCATGTCCACCTGTCCGTTTGTCTGTTTATACGCCAACAAGTTCCTCGGTTTTTAATAAATCGATTTGAAATTTTGCACACGTCCTTTCCTCTCCAACAAGCTGCTCATTTGTCGGAACCGATATCGAACTTTAGCATATAGCGGACGTAGAAGCAAAACGATCAAAATCAAGTATTTTTATGGACCACTTTTTGAGAAACCTGTTATACCCTGAACAGGGTATATTAGGTTTGCCGCGGATGTTTGTAACACTCAATAGCAAACGTCGGAGACCCTACAAAATGTATATATGAGATAAATGATTAGCATGACGAGCTGAGTCGAGCCATTTCCGTCCGCCTGTCTCTATATACGCGAACTAGTAACTCAGGTTTTGAGATATCGATCTAAAATTTTGCGCATGATATTTTTCCTCCAAAAAGCTGCTCATTTGTCGAACCGCACATATCGGACCACCATAGCATATAGTTGCCATTCAAACTGAACGAACAAAATTAAATTATTGTATGCAAAACTTTCTTATTGGACGATATACCTTCATGAAATTTGGAACGATTAATTGTCCAAAGCAACGATACGATATTGGAAGACATTTTCTAGATCAGACTACTATAGCATATAACTGGAATACGAACTGAACGATCAAATGCATGTCCTTGTATGGAAAAGTTTTTAATATGTTAAGATATCTACACAAGATTTTGACTGAAGTTTTGTCGGTGCAGCCGAAGTTAAGTTCGAAGTTCTTGTTTCTTTTCTTTGTTTCTTTATTCTAAGACAGATATATACGAATAGCTTTAGTATATCGGCCTGAAGCAGCAACATCAGGATAGTGTTGCAGGTTTTAGTAAAAAAAAAAGATTTTAAAGAATAGATAATCTTACATAAATATTATAATTTATTAAAATTTTTAGATTAAATGACTTAAGCTGCTTTGATATACATGGTGGCCATATTTCCCATGATTAGAAAAAACTTTTTTTTCTAAACATCCGATATTTGGTGTTCAATAATCTGCAAATGACACAAATAATTTAGAGAATATTTAAATTTGAGTAGCAGACAAGAAAACCTATTTTGCAAGAGACTCCAGATACGATTTATTGCAGCGACGCTGCAGTTTCATTTAATTAAGAATTAATGAAAAACCTCTAGTGAGGCAAAGTCGTGTTGAAAGACAGACTGCCCTCCTTAGTTTACGCGCGCACATACATATATCATTCCCCAATGCACACACATGAAAATAACACATACGATTATTTATACTCCGCCATTGTCTAACAGCAAATACGCATTTGGAAAAATGTTTATTCAATGAGCGCCGCTCCTTTACATCAGTCATTGCAGTGCGCACACTTACACAGCCGCACACATGTACGTACATATGTATGTATTAGCGTTTGCACGTTGCGCGTTGATAGCAAAGCAATGCGAGGCGACTTTTATTCATTTAATGATTAGCGCACATACACACACACATTCGCAGAGCTCACCGTGAATCTCGCAGTGACTCGCCGGCATTTAAATATGTGCACATGTATGCATGTGTGTGTATGTGCGCGCATCCTTAACAGCTTTGCTGTTTTCTCATCGTTTACAGGTTATTTTCGTTGGCTCGGTGGCTCAGTGGCTCGTTGACTGCTCGACTATTTGGTTTCCTGCGGATTGCTAATGTTATTGTTGATGCGTGTAAGTGCGCGCATGTATGTATGTGCCTGCGTGTGTGTCGGTAGCCAGCGGTGTAGCTTGTGTGTCTCAGTCTGATGGCGGCGGCTAAAGTGGCGTCTTGTTGATTTACTATACGTGAGCTGTGAGCATGAGTGCGTCTTCTACGAACACGGAAATGTACGCAACACAAGGCTCTAACTGCGCTAGCACGTAGGAATATTGTTACATACACATGCACAGGTACATTTGAATTAATAATTTATATCTACGCCTTTTTTGCTTTAAGACTAGTGCTGAACGTGTGCTGTGAGAATGTCAGCTAACGCACTCATGAAATCTAAAATTATTATAAATGTATTTTATGTCATGACAGGGTATATATGTACTTATGCATTCATATATACATACGTATGTATAGTAAAATATTATAGAATGCAGAAAAAAGCTTGAGAAGAATTTGCATAAATATTATTTAGTAGTAATAAATTTCTAAAAAAAAAATATAATTTTTAAATGAAAAATTAAAAAAATATTAACTTTGGTTGCACCAAATATCTTTTACAAATAAACATTTTAAGTACAAGAACTTGATTTTGTTGGGTTGGTTTGTATAGCCACAATGTGCTACAAAGGTTTTCATCTAAAACATTAGCTTAGATATAGTAGCATTGCCTTAAACAATAATCCATGACGAATCTCCTGAAGATATCTTGTAAAACGAAAGAGTTTTTCATACCAGAGCTTGATTCTGACCGTTCAGTTTCGATGGTGGCTATAAGTATTATAGTAATCCGATTTGAACATTTTCTACCGACATTGCACCGTTGCCTTGGACAATAATCCATGCCGAATTTCTTGAAGATATCTCATGAAATGAAACAGTTTTTCATACAAGGACTTCATTTATAATTTGTAAAAATTACTGAATGATGAAATATGAACGTAATGCATACCTCAGCACTAGTATCTGATGATAATATTCTTAATTTACTCACACAATTTCAGTGATCAAGCCATCATTAGCACCAATGTTTCTTTCCCCATCATCCAAGAAGGCAATTCATATGCAAAGTAACTTTTTGACGAGCAAGGTTTTTGCTACGTCATGAGTTTTTTTTCCTTTGTAATTCGAAAGGATTTGTGATGTACGAGAAATAATATCCGTTAACGCATTATATGTTTACTCAGATTTAGTCGTGCATTAAACTAAAGATCCTAGCAACACCAAATATCACCCTGGTTAGGTTAGAAATCGGTTCTTCTATAAAAGCCTGTAAGGATCTCACTTGGATGGCTGAGAGCTGCCGGTTCATTGTGATACAGAAAACTCCTAAGCATTGTTCGTAAAGATATTCGTAAATCGACAAAGTTGTCTGAGCATGACATCGTATATCTCTCCTCTTTTGTCAAAAGTATTACTGCAAATCTTGGAAAAGGTGGACAATTGAGCAGTAAATGCCAGGATGTTTCCAACTCAACTTCCTCCATACAACTTTGACAATTTGCGTCCGACAAGATTTTTGCGCTTACTGCATTTACGCCTATTGTACAATGACAAATATGAACTCCTGCGATTGTGGCAAGATCAGCCTTGCTAAGTGCAAGTAATACAGTCGATCTTCCGTGTTCTACTTTAGCCCAGAAGGGTCTCGCAGTCGTACAGTAGCTAGTAGTTCACCATTGTGTTAGAACGCAATGGGAAAACAGATACTCAGTTCGCTGGCAATCGATGAACCTAGAATGGAATGATGAACTACACCAATTTTGAGACGACATTGTTGATTTTTTTAATATATATAAAATGTGTTGCAATGTTGATGTTGAATGTATATTTCATTTGATTAGATGCTGAGTTTCCAACTATAACAGTTCTCCCATGCGGAAGCAGTACGCGAAAGAAGTGTATAATAAAAATCTTTACTCGTTCAAAATGCAGCATTTTCTTAAGCACCAGACATAAGTTCCAATTTACAGACGCCTGTGATGAAAACATTCGGTTTTTATCTTTTGTTTACGTCGAAAGACCGCAAAACAACAACTTTTCAAAATATCATAGTCTATAGAAAAAAAAGTATAAAAAGAGTTTGCTGTAGTCAACTGAAATGTTTTACGGCAAAAATAACCATAAGTGAATGCTGAATACAATAATCCGAAACAGAAGAGCATACCCTGTACTCAATGGAAACAAGAAAGCCATGTTGTTACTTTAGATTGGATGTCACAATCAACAGACGCCATTCCAATAGAGAATGTTTGAGCTTTAATGAAAGCCAAAATATCAAAAAAAAACATTATACAATTCATTCCGCTACTCCAATAGACCTGGAGGATTTACTTCCAAGTTGCCATTAAAGATGTGAGGCAATAATAGACAACGCCGCTATAAAAAAATAAACAAAGTATTTTCTATAATTGCAACATTATTCGCAATAATCGCTACAATTTGCACTGTACATATTTACGGTAAATAGTTCAAATATTGTATAATTTGTGATTTGAGATGTGTCGTTTTTGCGTTTAGTGCACAGTATACAGTCTTACTTTTATTACAAATTTCTCACAAAATCTGCTTTGCAAAATTTGCATTTTCGTTACCGTCAATAATCATCAACGTTGGCACTTCTTCATAACGAAAGTCATGGCAAAAGCAAAAATGCCAAAGTGTGACAAAATAAATAAAACGCCTTTAGCCACTTTGGTGCTTTTTAAAGTCATACCATATATGTACATATATGGCAGCCATGTAATGCTTACATTTCATTTACGAACTGTTTGTGTTGTGTGAAAGCAAAAGTCATTCATGCAATTTGAATAGCAACATTTGGCATTGCTTTCACATTTTGGGAATTTTCGAAAATCATATAATATCATGTATTTGCTTAGCATACACATGTACACACACACACACACACATTAAATACACTACGCAGCAAACAGCAAAGCCTCATGCAAATTCGCTAGCGTGTGTGGATTAGTGTGACATATTTTGCATTTTGCATGTGTATGTGTGTTGGTCTGTTGACATTGGCATTCAAATAGACTGTCACGCATTTGGCGTTTGCTTGTGACTTTTAGCCAGCCCTTGCTCTTATTTTCTCTCTTATAGCTCACGTTCTTTGGCTTATTCCACATTTTTCTGTGTAGTTGTATTTGTATGTGTGAATGTATGGTATGTAGGAAATGTCCCCGAAGCTGTAAACATTTGCTTGTCTTTCCACATACAAACATATACGCACTCATTTGTAGCGATTATGTGTTGTTGTTGTTGGTAAGCGCGTGTGTGTTGTCTACATGTGTTCCGCTTTATTTGGTCTGATTTTAGGCGTGAAATTCGTGTGAACACACGCTTGTGCGCTGGAATAAATGGGTTATTGTGCTGGGCTTTTGGCGTACAAGAGTCTCAGGTAATTCAGCTGTTCGTTGATGTTGAAAAGTTCTCGGATTTGCTTACAAAACAAAAATTACTTGTTTATCTTAGAGGACTGAGCGCTAAAATGACGCTAGTAAATGCTTCTAGAAAACACTTCACAGTCAATATTATAACTTATACTGATTAAAGGGGCAGAAGCCTTCGCACTTACCTTATAAATTCCGAATATTAACATTACACTCAGCACTATCATGGACATTTGAGTGCCGATAATGGCGAAATAAGCTATTTGAACACCTGAAAAAGAAGAATTGGCAAAAATAGTATTATTTACTCAGAGGATTAATCTATCTATTTTATTTAATATTTTTTTCGAATAAAGAGATTTAATGTATTTTATGTCAATTGATTTTCAAAAAGATTTTATAGAAAGACGTATACATTGTATTAGATGATCGATGCTGATTTATTATATAATAATTGTTTGGAGTTGTCCATGCCATTTGTACGTATGCTTTTTTTTAAATATAGATCCCTCTAGTTGCAAGTATTTAAAGGGCACACCACATTAATTTCCAATACATTTTAAGTTGCAGCATTTTTAAGTGTGGTCGCTTAGTTCAATCAGTTTATTTTTAAAAGCTTTTATCGAAAGAGCATTTTTCAAATAAGCAATTCAATTGTAACTTGAAGAAAAATAATGCGGTGGCTTTGTTCTTTTGAATATGTTTCGCTTTACAATGACTTCCCACTTTTTAGATTGTATGAAAAATGTATTTATTTTGGAGCATAATTTAGCTTATATTTCAAAGTCTGTCATATTAATAATATATTTTTATTTTTTTCTAGGGAGCCACGGTGAAGATCGCAATCACTGGAGACCTCTTTTAGTGGAGGACCTTTTTATACTCTCGCAACCTGTTGCTACAGAGTATAATAGTTTTGTTCACCTAACGGTTGTTTGTATCACCTAACACTAATCGAGTTAGATATAGGGTTATATATATATAAATGATCAGGATGAAGAGACGAGTTGAAATCCGGGTGACTGTCTGTCCGTGAGACGGTTGGTATTGCAGACAAATCAAAAACAAATAACTTGCCATAACTAAGCTCCGCAATAAGATACAAGACTGTTATTTGGTACACAGGATCAAATTAGGGAGGGGCATCTGCAGTTAAACCTTTTTTTTTAAAGTGGGCGTGGTCCCGCCTCTAATAGGTTTAATGTGCATATCTCCTAAACCGCTAATGCTATAATAACTATTTTCCATATGACACCATTTTAAATTCCATCTGATTCTTTCACTTTCCACTATGCAAATCAGGTAACAATGATTATATCGCGGTAAAACTTTGCGTGAATAATGCAATTAAAGTATGCCACCTTGCGGCCAAAAATTGTCTAAATCGAACCAAAACTGTTCAAACCCCTAAGTACTAAATATGTGGACCCCAGTGCCTATAGTTGACCTTCTACCGAAAATATCAGTCAATCCACAAAGAAATCTCAAACGAGTATACCTTTTGACTTTGCGAGAGTATAAAATGTTCGGTTACATCCGAACTTAGCCCTTCCTTACTTGTTTTAATTTGAATTTTTCGCATGACTTCAATAACCTTCCTCGAAAAAGGCAACTTTTTCATCAATGCTTGGTATGTATTTTAAAGTAGAAAAGCCGTTCAATCTTCGTCGTTGTTCGTTACATTTCTTTAAATCAAACGACGAATCAAATTAGGAGCTGATTACATTTATCTGTAAGATGAGATTAGCGCAGATAATAATATTAGACCTAATGACATAGGACAAATTTGTTATTTTGCCGTCTGCTTTTGTGAACAGTCTCCGTTACATATCTGCATGATTATACTAAAGACGCTTTCACTTATATACGAACTTACGGAAGGCCTAATCTCTTCATAAATTTTAACTGCAATTCTTCGTAGCAAGGTGGAACTAAAAAACTTATGCTTTCGTGGCATTGTTTGTTTTGATTAATTGTAAAATTTTTAAACGTAGTACAAATGAATTTTTTCAATTTTAAAATTGTTTACAAACAATTAAATCTGCCAAAGATATTTTTTGGATATGTAAAATATATATTTTTTTGTACTAATAAGTAGTCTATATTATTTTTTTATAATATGTTGTAAGTTTTTCCGGCGGTGCAAAATTGTGTAAATTTCGAGCATTTGACACTTGCGGGCAGGCTACAGTTTACAGCGAAAGAATAATGGCTCTTATAAATGCACCCATAAAACACACCTGCAAAATTTACACATTTTAGCACTGGACGGAAAAACTTATAATAAAGGATACAAAAATTTGCTGGAATAATACTCCGGTTTAGTAAATAATTCCTTGAAGCCGCGAGTAAAGCTAGTAAATAAATGGAGATTTATAAATGTTTGTTATGCGTATGGTTGAATACTAATTGCTTGTTTACTTGGTTAAAAGGGAAGTTGAAAAAATGCCTGGCTTTTGTACCTATTTTTTTCCTCCCTAGCTGTACAATTTCTCTTTCTATAGAACACTTGCGATGTACTTGGAAGATATGCCATTTCCATCGGCTGAAAGCTCACCGTTCGCAGTGTGAATGACCTAATGTTCCTTCTTTTCTAACAGCAGAACTCTATATACTTACTTTTTTCTAAATTTCAGAAACGGAAGTTGGATTTTAATTAAAAAATAAGTTCTTTAAAATTATCAACAAACGTGGAATAACTATCGAAAAATGGTAAAATAAGTGAGCAAATAGTAACTTCATTTGGTGGGAACAAAATTGGAAAATCTAAGACATTATCAACATACAGTAGAAATGCATACATATAGTATGATTAAAAAATAGAATGCTGAGTAAAAACTTAACAGTTTGTGTATTAGTACCCTACTATGGCATCGGATGCCAAAAGAGAAGTATAACATACATCAGACCGATGGTCTAGCATTCCTTAGCGGCTTCAAATTTAGCTTAGAGCAGTGGTCTTTACACATATTTATAACGATCTGTAAGGAGCGATACATAATACTCATTTCTACTGAGTGGTATCCTTTGGACAAGTTAGAAATTTGGTGACACTAAATTAATTATAGGTGACTATTATCACGGGACATTTACAACTGCCATTTCTTTTTTAAAAAATGACAGAAAGCGGGGATCATGTCGGAATTGATGTAATATTATTTCTGAACTTGCACAGATTTCTTCCGGTCAAAATCAAGTCTCTCCGAAGTAATACGGTATTATTAACCTCCTCACCATTTAATGTTCTGACAAATCGACTATAATTTTTACATTTTTTATTTACAAAAAGTCTTAAAAAAATATTAAAAAGTTTCATAATACAATAATATTAAGTTGTTTCTTTAACAAAACTGCAAAACAGTGCAATTAAAGAGTTCCTTCGTAATTAAGACTGAAGTGTTAATGGTTTTGCTGTATTTATCGTTAAATCTGCTTAACCTCTCACTTATGTATAAAAAGAATCCTAGATAATAACAGTCACATCCAACTGGGGCGAAGCTTAGCAAGTTTATCAGCCGGCTGTCGGTCAAGTAATGCGGATATTACTTTACCAAAGGACAGTTCGTAAATGCCACATAAATTGACAATCGGCTTACACAACCTTAGGCGGCTGATGTTAAGCTGCCGCTTATCGCATCACTTGTGTGAGAATTGGAGCCTAAAAGACCAAAGGTTCTTAGTGAACAGGTATGTAATATTAAAAAGAGTATGTGTTTATACATATTAGGTATACGCGTATATGTATGTACAATATATGAATGTTCTTAATGTATATTTAAGAGCATAAAACTGCATTAAATTTTTTACTCCGTCAAATGATATGTAAATAAATATGTTTGCAAGGTCAGCCAGGTAATGAAATGAAGTGAATTTTAACATATTTAACACATTAAATTTGTATATACTAACAAATATTTATATAATATATATAACAATTCATATACTCACCATAGTAAACATCCTCCAATGACTCCACCTTGCGCATATTCACATTAATTCGCCAGGAGTAAATCAATACAATCAGTAGTGACATATTCTGCGAATGAAGAAACACAACAAAATAAATATTGACAGCTGTGTGTTGGAAATTGTCAATGCAATAAATAATTGCAGCGCATGATTAATGTACCATTAAAAGCACTCATGTCATAACAGCCATAAAAGTCACTCATACGCCCCACATGCACACTTTTTATCTCATTTTCTGTTCAAGGCACAAAACAGACAAAAGCGAGGGTGAAAAGAGCGCAGAAGTGAGCGGAAAAAATTTCAAAAATTTTATAACTCGCCGTTTTAATACACTTAATTAGTTTAATTGATGTCATTAATGTAATTAACGTATCACAATAAGCCGTAAATTATTGAACACACACACATACACGCTACATAGTAGTGCATATGCCTTTATGAGTACGAAAGTGTGCACATATAATATGTCTCTTTGTACAAGCGGCTACAACTGAGCAGGTCAGCACATAATGGCACATAACAGCGAAACGCCATTTATCTTGGTATTTTGTGGCATGAGAGGTGTAGGACGCTTCGCGACAAATGTGACGCGTGACTGAGTAATTGAAATATTTATTTAAAGTCGGTAGTCAAAGAATAATATAAAAGCCAAAGTGGTGGCATCTACAAGAGGTGAATTAGAGAATATTAGAAAGTACAGGACTTCTGTTTATACTGTTCCTATAATTTGAATTGATAAGAAGTTATTTTATTGTATATCAAAATTTTGATTTTAAATAGCTATTTAGCGCCGCTCATGCAATGGGTTTCTTGTAAAGGTTCCACAGGAGATATATGAGCTTATTTACATAAGGTAGAGTATGCACATAATCTAAGCCACGTGACTTTTCATGAGTAGCTTGAAACAACCAGGTTAAGAAGTCAAAGACAACTATTTCAAATATCACATATTGCTTTTGTACAGCTTCCATCTATGATAGATACAAATGGGCATTTGAAAAACGAGAAGAAATAGTCTATTCTATTGATCCCTATTGTATGCCAAAGGAACAAAGCAAAGTCTCATGATTTTATTACCAAACTCAATTGGAAAATTAGCATCGAAAAACGAATTAATAAAGCGTAGCTGTATGAGGTTAAATACCTATACTCTAATGTATACTGAAAAGACATATCAGTATTGAGTTGTGTCACAAGTTGATCGGTATTATTTTGGTCTGAAACGGTTTAATATTCTGACTAAGTAATATTAAAATATACTTATATCAAATATAACGCTTTCATAGAAAGTTGTGAGATGTTTTACCAGGTGTCAGCAAGCAGATAGTTGTCTTTGAAGGTTGGCAGGAAACCAAACTGGCTCCAAAATTCACAGAACCCAGATCTACTAAAAATTTAAATTATTCCGCAAGTATTCGGCCATACAATAAAAATTTATTTACACATTTTTCTATAATGATATTATAGAACCACAATATTGACTTTTGTGTGCGGCCCCAGTTTGGTTTTTCTGAAATGTCTCATAAATTTAAAGTCCAAACTACTGATTAATTTACACATAAAAACATAATATTATAATAATTAAAACCTTAATGAAAAGTTCAGTATTTTGACTTATTGGATTGCGAAATTGCCGTTATTGAGCGTTTGAATAGAGTTTCGAGAATAAGTCATCGAAACTTGAGACGACCATTGTATTAATGTTTGTTGCAACACTATTACCAGCACAGCCGGCTACATGTTTCAAAATGTTGGCTGTCAACTAATCAGTTTAGCACAAAGAGTTTATAATAGAAAAGTTATATAGTCTTGAAGGACAATAGACCGGAGCACTTCTTAATATGATTTGGTCACCAGAAAAGCATTCTAAAATATGATGGCTTAATGCTTGCCATTGAAATCATTTAGCAGATATAGAGCGGACTGTTACATCAGCTGAGGCATATTTACTATTTACCTATGGTGTTCATCATTTTTCATTTTTAGATGTGAGAGAACCTGGAGCCTTCTTTAAGAATTATTCGTACGCCAAATATGACAAACTGGTTAATCCAGAAATTCAATTAATCAATTTAAACTAAAATAAATATTCTGAAAAAATATTTAGCGCGGATTTAAAAGGCATCAGAAACGAAATAAACTTAGTAGTCGTTACACGCTCTACTTACTACGCCTTAAATAAATACGTCAAAATTATTCACATTTTAAAACAAAGCCCTCCGCAATATGCCTGCCATGTGATGTGTTTTAATAAAATCAAATATTTAATTATAAATAAAATATCAAAATTTACGTATAAAACGCTACAGTTCCATTGTTTTTCGCACACCCTCACATACATACGCGTGTACCATTGTGTTTGCCGCGCCATGTAAGCCTACAAAAAACAAAACACATACATATTTGTCAAATACCATTCATGCCACAAGCCACGTGCCACACGTATTAAAAGCGCACAAATTTAATTTAATTTTTAATGCCATTTACGCGCACTAGTCGGGCCAGCGGGGCGTATGCATGATTTTATTTCGCTGTTTGGCTCTTTGTGAGAAATTCTTTTTTGTTTCGCTTATTTGTGTTGCGGCACATTGACACGCAGAAATTTGTGCTTGCTAAGGTGACACCGATTTATGCTTTTAAGACGAGAAGTATATTTTAAGAGGGATATTATATATTTTTTAACTTATTTAAATCAAAGATTTTAGTACAAATCACAGCAAATGATTTAATCTTAATTATAGCAATTAATTATGTTATCCAGTCCTAACGTTTGAGGTTTCTAAAGGCTAACTGATCATGATACAAAACAAAGTATACTTATTATAAAAAAAAATATTTTTCTACGGATTTTGAAAAAAGTTAAATTGGCAGATATGATTGTTTGTCGAAAAACTTTAAAATCTAGCAAAACACTTCGTATACATTCTATATATTTAGTTATTTGTTTTTGTTAATGATGTTTGATATTTAATTAAGCAATTCAATACGAGCGAAGCCGGGGGTAAAGTTAGTATATGTATATTTAACTATTTATTATTAATGTAAGACATATCACATATAAAATATTCGACCCAACATTTTTTGCGTCGACCCTACTACAGCACTCACAGCACGTTAAGCTTAACGAAATTTTCAACATCCCTTTCATTCGCCCCTTTTCACATATCATTCAAGCGTGCTTAATTTCCTTACTTAGTTTCAGCTGTAATTCAGTTGAGTTTTTATTTTTTGCTCGTGCTGCGCTGCTTTTACTTTTGCATATGCTTTCAAATTATACTCACAATTGTGTAAATCGCACTTGTTAACGCCAAATTTTTCGCATGTAGCATGCGACAACATCCTGTCCCTGTTAGCGGTCCATATGGATACAATATCACCGATTTCATTTTCTCACCAGCGCCGACACCAACGCCGGTCGCCGCCGCCGCGGCCGCCACAACACACGTTTTATGTTTGGCTTTCATTTTCATATGTTGCTCACACTTTTGTTGTTGTTATTATTACTGTTATATTTTAATTTTTTTTTATTTTTTAGTGTCCTTGCTGTCGTTGGTGCGGATATTATGCAATAATAACGGTATTACGGTTGTAGCACGCACGTGTATTACACACCCTTTGCAGCCACTAATAGGTTTTGTGTTTCTGTTGTAATTGTTTTTGCATAACGCAGTTGGAAATAGTGTTGCTGCTAGAAATTTGTGAGCAGTAGCGGGTTTTAGCATGAATCATAAGCCGCAAAATTGCTGTTACTTTTATTTAAGTTTAGTTGTGCTGGTTTGTATTCATCTTAAATTCGCTTCAGTTCCCTTTTCCTTTCTATTTTATTTTATTTGTTCTGCTATATGACATGCTTTTGCAATTCAAAGCTGGCTTACCGCTATTCAGAAACTAAGTAGAGTTACGTATACGCTGTGTCATACCATACATATGATGGCAGTTGGTAGAGTCATATGTGTATGTGCGCGTTCGATCTTCAGATCAGGCATATTTTCATGTTAAATTAATGCCAGTAGTTTTTCATAGTTGATAGCAGTTTTAATGACTGTAAGGAGAAAAATTTAAAAATAGTTTATATATCAGTGCCTTTTACTAATAAAATTAATATTCATACTAAGAGTTTATATGTATAAACATAAAAAAAATTCTGAATATAAAGTAACATCTAATACAACTTTCATGTAAAATTATTTAAAATTTATGTATAATAATAATTGCGATTTTCACCGCTTTCTTATGATATTTGCTCTCCAAAGTTGCCTGTAGCAGAAGAATATTTAAGAATTGCATATGATTTCTCTCAAACATTGAGCAATAGCAAATAATTCACGAGAAACTGCAATAAACCAGATCTGCTGCCAACAGCCTCCATATCCACCAGTTATCCAGCATTTCTCCGACGATTTCCAAAGCCTGCCACAGGCATTGAGGCCACACTTATTACAATTATGTTTGCTTGTTACGACTTATACAAATGCAATCATAGCTGAATTATTTTCTATAAAATAAACAAAACGTGAATGAAAAAGGGCTGCAGCCGGTGTGTGATTTCAATTTATATATATTATAAGTATTCCTGACTAATTCCGACTAAAAATATATATGTTTATATATATTTGTATTAGTACATATGTATATATTAAGAACAAACAGTTTGCTTGGTATGTGTACAAGTAATTTAAAGTCAAAAACTTTTGACCTTTGCTGTGCTCTTGATGAAATATTTATATTTGCCCGTCTTGTGTTTTTTTCTTTGCAAACAAGCCTGGGGCTTAGCATTTTATTAGAGTTATGAAAAGTCTTCCTAGCTCAATGTTGTTATTTACTTTAAAATCTCAACAATTTATTGTTTTTGTAAAGGTTTTAAGACTGCTAGAACGTTTTAAAATACTTAGGCTTCAATACTGCAATTTTCTCTACTCATTGGCATCATAATTGAGTGCGTTTCTTTTAGGAAGCTCTCCAGCGGTGCAATGTTTCAAGCAGATTATCAGCTAACAGTACTTTAACGATTAGAAATATTTAAATAATTTTGTCGAATATACACAATTGGAAGAGAAGGAAATGTAATATAAATAATATGCCATAAAAAAGTAATCATCAATCATAATCAATATAATCGACTTGTTGGTCAAAATTGATAGTGCTAACTACTAAGGAGTAGTATCGACCCAACAACAATATAAGCAAACACATTTTTTTAACAGAAACGAAGAAAAGAATGGACGAACTCATATTCATATTGATTTACAAGAAAAAAATTGTATTTAGCTACTTAAGACATACCAGGTCAAAAAACCAAAATTTTAAATCGATTTCTAGAAATTATAAAACTAGATAGACCACTTCTCATTTAAGCAAAAACATATATTTTTGACAGACTCACGGAAAGTGAGGTTAGAATAATTTCTCGAAAAAAAGTATATTCATGAAATGAGATTATTGATGTGTCATACTTTGAGCTCCATTTATAGATACCAGATATATAAAAAACGTGTAATAACTAAAGTTTTCAAACTTTTTTTTGATAATTCCCTAGACAATACTTATTCCAATATTTAACCTTTCCTTTAAAAGAGCACTTTTTCTTAGCTTTACTACTTACTTCAAAGCCTGATAATGGCACACTCTTACCAGAGATTCCAAACATTTACAGTTGCTGAATTCCACAACTCACTGCGGAAGTTCCATGTGTTCACACTTCAATTGGCATATTTGCACCCGAATGCGAAACACAAATAGCCACTAAGCTGCACCTTTGCGTCTTAGATTGAGCAACGCATTTTCTATGCAGATCACGAAGCTTTTCAATACGCCTTTATACACGCTTACACTTGCAGATTAACGCTATTAATTCAACCCCACTCAAATACACGTCTGAAATGAAACCCATGAAACATATGCTCTTGATCCCCGCACGTTGTATAATTGGCCACACAGCTGCCACTTGCAACAATTTGTTTCGAATTCACCTGCGTTTGCTTTACCGAAAACTTGAAATTTTTACACCTTCGCTCGATAAGCTTTGAACTTTCCCACTTTCGCCGTGCGCCCACACACACACATACACGTAAGCACCAGGCGAATGTGGCACGTGTGAATATAGGTTAGACGAACGTTGAGAATGCATGCATAACAAATTCAAAATATTTCTATAAGGTGTGTGTAGGCGTTATTGAGCATATTTGAATTTGAGTTTCCAATAAAAACTACAGATACACGTGACTGGTGAGCAAAAGACTTTTCGGCAAATTGCTTATACTAGTTATATACCTGTAAGCACATACTTACATACTTGTAGTACATATGTACATATGGTAGTATATTATAACGGGTGATCCAAGTAGAGATACTTTTTTCAATAGCCTTTTTTTAACATATCACGAGTGAGTCGTGTCAAGCTGTCATGTTATTTTGGTTCATTATTGTTTGGCCTTTCATCATGGAATTACTTACGCCTGAATAACGTTTACAAATCGTTCAACTGTATTATGAAAATTCAAGTTCTGTAAAAAATGTGTTCCGCGCGTTTTCAAACCAAATTTTGTTCAGCGGTGAGGCCCGTTTCTGGCTCAATGCGTATGTAAACAAGCAAAATTGCCGCATTTGGAACGCAGAGCAACCTGAAGAGCTTCAAGAGCTGCCATTTCATTCAGAAAAAATTACGGTTTGGTAAGGTTTGTGAGCCAGTGGAATATTGATCCATATTTCTTCAAAAATGATACCGGTGAGAACGTAACCGTCAATGGCGGCCGTTATCGCGCCATGATAGCCGATGATAGATTCCCACCCACCGCATCAATCAATGGATTTTTTGAGTATAGTAGCAGATAATTTCAGGTTTTTGCCGGTCGATTGGCCATCAAGATCGTATGATATCACATCGTTAGACTTTTTCCTGTGGGGATATGTAAAGTCTCCTTGGAGCAAAACATCACGGGTGTCATTCGCTAGTTACCAGTTGGACTTGCGGCCAACATTTAAAAGAGATAATCTTCAAGAAATAACTGCCAAAGAATGTTCTTTCGTATGATAATAAACTTTCCAATTAAATTTGATTCTTTTCTTTATAAAAGTAGGGAACTTCCAAATGGATTACCCTTCATAAATATTGTATATGTATACTCATTCCATTTTGAGCTCCTGGTCTTACGGTTGACTGCGCAAATGGTGTTGGAAACGAACTGGTCAAACCATTGGCACTGACAGATAAATTGGTCATTTGCACATTGAAAGCTCTCAACTCTTTTTCTAATGCCAACAAACCGTAACGGTAACTAAAATTATTGTTGTAAATATGTAAGCTGTCGGAATGCTGTTGACAAATATAACGGTATCTGTATGGCCGATGAGCGTCGATAATATGAAGACTTCCATAAGCTTATACAAACATGTTTGTACCGTTATTCAAAAGCTATTTATTTGTTTAGCAATTTAGTGAATATTTGCATTTCATTCGTTCTTCACAAATTAACAGTATTACCTTAACAGCTGCTATATTGGCTGCAGAGAATATGAACATTCATACATTTACGTATATACAATATAGCAAGATTGACAAGTCCAGTATGAGTCTTAAAATAACATGTGACTAGTGGCGCATTTGATTGCAACAAATTTTTCCTTTTTGTACGAGCATGTATCCGAAAGATAACAAAAAGAGACTAATCATTTTCATGTGTTTATGGACTAGTCACCTTTCTCACAATGGTAACGAAACGGACCAAACAATTAATATCCAATTAGACTCTAAAGATATTACTTTGGAACTATTGAAGTGGAGTACTTAGTGTAACATCGTGAAAAAACATCGATTTTTGGAAATTAAAAAAACTTCGGTATGGATTGTTTTGAAAGGGTATATTAATCCATGTTTCAAGAATACACAGTGAAATTTATTAAAAAAATATATATATAATATAAATATATATTATTATATATCAAAAAATTCCACGAAGATCGGATCATTTGTCTTCGAGTTATCACTGCAGCAAATTTGGAAAATTATATTTCGAGAAAAACGCGTTTAAAGATAATCTGATAGAGGTGATTGAACTGAGTGAACTGAGTGAACTGAGCGGCTACCCTTTAGAAGGCTGTTACTCAAAAATTATTGGAGATATAAACTTTTTAGTAAAAACTAGGAGTTCCTTTAGGAGTGCCTCTTAACATCTAATTCTTATCAGTGTTGTGCAGTATGTGTTGAATACCTAATACATTTCCAATTCTAAACGAATGGAGAGTAGTCCGGCGCTATTCTCTTTAATGATCACTAGCACAATTTCTTGCAGAGTATACAATGCCTACCCATAAGTGTATTAATGTAACTTTGTATTCCCCACTGCTTGAGTAATTACTGTTGCATGTTGTGACAAATTTAAATTTGAATTTCACTAAATAAATTGCGCAAATTGGCTGCAATTGTCAGAAAATAATATATGAATGTGTTTTAATATAATTTGCAATTCGACGAAATTTAATCGAGCGTGTTCGACAGTCTTCAGGGAAGCGTTGTGGTTTTGGCAAACTTTCTACTCTGTAAATACATACTTACTTATATACATTTTGTAATTTTTTCATACAGAAATATACTGGAAATATTTAATATAAGTAAGTGAGAATTTATTTCGGAAGGATTCAACTCCTCGCATTTTGGAAAAATCATTCGAAAAGTTCATGCAATACACATATATAAATAAATTTCTTTTTATGCATTGAGGTTGCGAGAACTCCATCTTGGAGATATTTCCATATACTCAAAGTTAAAATTTACAAGGTTACGCCACTCGCCTTGTTGTGACGTAGATAGAAGAAACGGATTGTCTCCAGACACAAGATAAATAAAGCGCCAAAAAACTAACTTGCTGCTCTTCATGTTAACCTTTTTAATAAGAAATTTTTTAACTTTTATAATTAAAATTTCACTAAAGAGAGCATGACTATATAGTTATATTTTATTTATTGTTAGCCTATAAGAAATCGATTAAAAACCTCATCTTTTTGTATTTTTTTTTGTTTTTTGCTATAATGCAATCAAAAATGGCA